TCCCATCTTCGAGTGCTGGCTCATCAGGTGTTCCATCTTCGAGCGCGACTGAGTATGGCACTTCATCCGTTCCTGGCTCCGTTAGTACATCGTCCTCATCTGGTTTGTCAACGGCTCAAGTTTCTCCAGGGACTTCGTTGTCATCATTAACTGTGATTTCAACGCATACTTCGCTCTTGGCTGAGTCTGTGGTGCCTTCGTCGGCTACCTCATTTGATACCACTGTTTTTACAGTTACAAGCAAGGATCTCACAACGACTGTTACATACGGGGTGACGACTGTGACATCTTTCCAACCGGGCCACCAAACCAGTACATTGACTCCTTCTAGACCAACCGGTCCCGAGGAAACATTGACTGTGACTATTGTTAAGCCAGTTGAGACTGTTACTGTAACCAGTTTCTGTTCTCCAGGTGAAGCCGAGACGACTGTCCCAGCAACCTATGAGACAGGTGCAACTATAGTGACGGAGACTGTGATTGTGACCGCAACCTTCCCTGCTGGTTCCTACGTTACAACTTTAACGGAAGAAACTGTCACCAAGACTATCACTGTTCCTTGCCAGACCGTTACTTCATATGTTGGTCCAACTGAGACGGCCCTCACTGTCTATCCAAGCGTCACCGATACTGAGACCACAGTGACGATTACTTTGGTCCAACCAGTCAAGACTTCGACTGTCACTAGCTATTGTGCTCCAGGCGAGCAAGAGTCCACAATCTCTGGCTCATACCAAACGGGTGCAACTGAAGTCATCGAGACTGTGGTTGTTACGTCAACAGTTGGTGCCACGTCTGCACTAGCCACTGGTGTCTTTGTTACCACAATCACCAGAGCTTCTGAGACCGAGGTGATCACTGTTCCTGTTCAGACGATAACATCGTTTGTTGGTCCAACCGAAAGTGCATCAACTGTTTTCCCCTCGGTCACAGACATCGAGTCCACAGTGACTGTTACCAAGGTTCAACCAGTTGAAACGGTCACAGTCACTAGCTTCTGCTCTTCAGGAGAGCCAGAATCAACCATTGCTGGCTCTTACACGAACGGAGCCTCCGAAATTGTTGCAACCGTTATTGTATCATCAACTGAGGGAGCACAAGGGGCTGTGACCACAACTCTGGCCATTATAACTACCTCGACCCAAACCCCATCGCCATCAACAACAGCTGCCGTTTCGCAGTTTGAAGGATCTGGATCTTCTCTGAAATCCTCGTCCTGGTTTCTGGCTTTGGCCGCTATTTTTGCTTTGGTTATTTGATTTCTTGATCTTCAAAAAAATTTGATTCACAAATTCTATTCGACATACCCTTCTCTTCTGCTTCCATTCTCATGACTTATTAACTTATTCAACTTTCTTCCAGTTTATTTCGATGAAACTCTTCTGCTTCATCATATTCAGTTTAGTGAGCATGCTCATCCTGCAATATAATTATGCTTTTTCAATGTTAATTCTTGCTTTGTAGTTTTTATCTAGTATATGATGATGTTTGGTCTACAGCGAGGGGCGTCTGCGGTTTACCTCAAGGAAATGCAGGAGGTATAGAAAACAGGTGAACAGCACAAAATTGAGCTTGCAGCAGGCATCCAGCACCCCGCATGCACAAGGGGAGTTGCGGCTAATAACTGAGTTTTGAACGATGCAGCTAGATTCTCTGAAGCTTTGAGACATGTATTTTCATTCTATGGGTTTTAGACATCCTGGAATGAAAAAACCCTAGACTCCTTTGGATTTGGAGGTGTTCTTTACAGAGAATATGGCATCGAAATTGGCGTTCTTTTGCTTTCTCATTGCGGGTATTTCAACTAGTTTGGGTGTTTGAAGGTTTCGTGGTCATGTAGCTTTTGGAACTTTCTGGGGTCCTCTTGCTCCGGCACTTGCCATCAGTACCTTCATCAATGGAATTAAATTGACACCAGTCAACGGTCAGGTGTTCCCAATTCTCCTATCCTCCATGAAATGTGTTTCTTTTGCAGTACATGCTAGCTGGATGTCTCTTCAGGTGCAACAACAAAAGCCGCTATTGAAGAGTAAGACTGATATTTCTTCAGTTTCCAGCAAATAACAATGACAACACCATATCACAAGAAATGCTCCACTCGAAGAATGTGTTTGCGATCTCAATGCAACTGAATGTCGACATAGTCTCCCGCGCTAATAGTATGAACGATATAAAGACAACCAAATGTAGATATAATCAATGAATACATAATGGTGGATTTGGAAATTCTGATCATTGGAAAACCGCTGCGACCTAAGCAACCCTCCGCAAATCACGCCAATTCCGAAAATGTACTCAACAAGTCTTACTAACCCAGTCATACTGTATTTATATTCAGAATAAAGCAATTATAAAATATGAAACGAAATCAGAGAACTTAATCGAGCTCCTCAGTCATGTCGATATCTCCTTCGGCATCAACTTTGGGCTCCTCAGTGCCATTCTCTCTGGCAACTCTGTCCGCGGCGAGTTTCTCAGCCAACTCTGCAGTCTTCTTGGCCTCTTGCTTGCTCATCAAAGAGTCCTTTCTTTCCTGCTCCTTGGCCAGGTATCTACCTCTAATGAGGTTTCCAATCGAGGCCAATTCTTCATATTTGGCGACGTACTTTCCCTTTGTGGAATCGTAACCGTCATCGTACAACCAGTCCTCAGTCTTGGCCAGCATAGCGGTGAGCTTTTCCTTTTCTTCTGGAGAAGCAAAATCCTTGTACTGGTCCTCAAGCTTACCTCTCAGCTCGTAGATGTACTCTTCAAGAGCATTCTTGCGGTCTTCGGTATCGGCAACGAGCTTGTCCTCCATAATCATAGCGGTTTCCTTCTCGACAAACTCGTTCAAGACTTTGCTGGAAAGAGCATAACCCTCGACAGAAATTTCCAAGTCATTCTTCTTAACAAGCTTTTTCACCTTTTGGTATTCAGGCTCATCACCCTCTTTGGCATCTGGGTTTTCAACGAGTTCCTCAACCTCCTTTTCTTCAACAACGTAGGCGGATTCAACAGTGAAAAATCCGGATGGGTCGTTTCTGATCTTGAGCTTACAGACAGCAGAGTCCTCACCGGCAGGGACTTCGACACCAGTGAACTTCCACTTGGCAATGAATGGGCTGGTACCTTCTGGAAGTTCTGTTGGGTTCGTGTATCTAGCTTCGACCTCGAAGTCCTTGGTACGGTACAAAGTGATCATCTTGGTAGCTGGATAAAGACCGCCTTTGGGGAAAACCTCAAGGTGATCAGTCTCTTCAGCATCCTTCTGCCAGTAGTAAGTGACAGAGTAAGGGTTGCAATCCTCAAACTTGAAGGGACGAACTCTCAAGGTTGGCGAGTGCATGGCGCAGATGAAAGCAGCACCCTTGGCGATCGCCTCGTCCTGGTTCAAGGTGGTGGACAAAGGCTTTCCGAAGACCTTGGAGAGTCTCTCCTTAAGGGATGGAACACGAGTACAACCACCAATGATCTCGACGGTATCAATCTCCTCGGCGGTGAGACCAGCAGCGGCCAAAGCCTGTTCGACAGGGACGTGAACGCGTTGCAAGAGTGGCTCAACCAGCTCTTCCAATTCCTCTCTGGACATGGAAGAGGAAACATCAACATCATTCATGACAGACTCAACGTTGAAAGGAGCACTGGTGTTAGCAGAAAGCACCTTCTTGAGCTTCTCGGCGGCAGCAGAGATTCTAGAGTAGGCCTTGAGGTTTTCTCTAATGTCAATCTTGTACTTGGACTTGAACTCGTCGGCAAAATGCTCAGTAATTGCACGGTCAAAGTCTCTGCCACCAAAGTGCTTGTCGCTAGCGGATCCAAGCACTTTGAGCTCACCCTTCTTGATGGACACGATGGACACCGTGTAGGTGGAATGACCAATATCCACGAACGCCACCTTTTTGGGCTCTTCAACTGGCAAATCGGTCTTGAAGACGCCATAACCAACAGCAGCAGCAGTCACCTCGTTGACAATTCTGACGGGGTTCAAACCTGCAATTCTACAGGCATCGGCAGCAGCACGTCTCTGCTGTTCCGTGTACCACACTGGAACGGCAAGACATATGTCGGTAATTTTACCCTTGGTCTCCTTAGCAGTGGTCTCCTTGATCTTACTGAGGTACATTGCCACAAGTTGAGTGGAGGTGAATTCGTCTTGTTTGCCCAAGAAACGCACTTGGGAAGCCACCTGGCCATCTTTCACAACTAAAGGAGAAGTGAAGTAACGCTTCTCAACATCGTAGTCCGGCGAGGCTGGGTCCAAGGCAAGAATTCTCTTCAGGTTCTCGACCGTGTTCTTGAGGTTCGAATTCTGTTGGTTCTTTCCGGTTTCACCGATGGATCTGTTCTTGACACCGAACCCAACGATGGAAGGCGTAGAACGATTGGACACCTCGTTGACGACGATGTCAATACCTCTGTTGCGGGCAACTGCGATGACGGAGTTGTTATTACCTAAGTCGACACCAAGTGGGATACTCATTTCTATGTTGTCTATATCAAGTGAGGAGTTGGTGAATAAGAGGATTGATCCTGTTTAATGTCGGAGAAAAGTTGAAAAGTTCTTCAATGGGTTTGGTGCTAGGTACACGACATTTCTGGAAGGTTCTGGATATCCCTGTTTGAATGGGATAAGTTCCATTTATAGAGGGTAGTAACAATTAGGATGAGGGTAAAGATTTCTTTTTCATATGTTACCATTCTATATCCATTTTCCTCTATGCAGTGTCTCCTTACTCAGCCATAGTAACTAACGTCCCCCATCCAGGGCTACCCAGTAGCTCATAGAAAGCCTCTTCTGTCCCCTCATCGGGCCTGGTGGCTGTAATCAGCAGCTCCTCCTCGGCCCTGCTAAGAACACCGAGAGAGAGCAGATACGAAATCAAATGGAAGTCTTGGAGTCTCAGCTTGGACGTATTCAAATCGCCTCCATCCACGTCAATGAGCTCCAGAGCCTGTCGTAGTCCTTGAGGAGTACCCAGAAAGCCTCTATTTTCTATCGTGAACTGTTTTTCTGAACGGAATCTTGCCGAAGAAGAGTCCTGGGGGAACCCATGTGTGAGTGACACAATGAGATATTCATCTGGGAACCATGGCGATGCACTCTTCTTAACGGGAATTCCATATTCGTTCACCATCTTGTAGAAGATCTCCGGCACGTATCTATCATCTGTCTGTTCGTTGATGAAACATGCGTTTGGATGAGTAGAAGCACTTATCAGGTCTGCTGAGACGAGAGCCTCTCCAGCTTGCGAAATTTGGTACGATGCAATATCAATCTCGCCCTTGGAGTTTCCAGAAACCACACACGTGACGAATTTCGATGAAAACTTGCCCGAACGGGACCATTTGGTCACATTGGGGTTCTTGAGCTGCCATTTGGCCGCAAATATCACCTCCAAAGACGAGAGGAAAAAGGAGTCTTTATGTCTCTTGCACACCACAGAACCATCTCCAGCACCGGTATCGGTCAAATCGCTGAAGATTGTTCCGACTGGCACCAAGCCTAGTCGTTTAGCCACATCCAAGACTTGTTCTTCGTTATCCCATTGCTGAAGTGTGATTCCGTCTTCGTCGTCAATTTGAGGAATCTCATAGATTGCCTCAACTTTGGCCTTGAGTCCAAGAGGAACCTTATCATAAACATCGTAGGTTCCTAGAAGAACCCCAAACCGCTGGGTACCCGACAATCTCCAGCTGTTGATAAAATTGTTTATGGTTTCGCTGTTTGTGAACTCCACGTGGTCAACCATACGGAATCTTTGCTGCTGAAGCGTGATCGCCGAAGGCTGGCATTTTGAGCAAATGCCCTTGGGCCATGGGGAATGTCCCGTGGGACAATGCTTGTCAATCTTGAAAGTCTCTTCTTCCAAAGGAGCAATGAAGCTGGAATCGTTCTTATTCACATTGGCATTCATCTCTTTAACGTAGGCATGATATGATATATGCTTGATGTTGTTCTCCTCCTGATATGCCTTGTCCCAAGGTGGTAACGGCGAGCAGTATTCGCACATTCCTTTCTCGGTGTGTCTACAAAACGTGCTTCTTCCCCTTTTGATAAGCCCTTGTTGCTTGTCCAATAAGTCATCCACCGGTAATTGAGTAGTAGATTTCGTTGTGGCAACCCCATTGAGAGCAACAGAGGCAGAATCCCGAGCAGTCTCATCTGATCTCTTGTTGGAGTAACTCAGAAACAACAAGTCACCGTTTTTGAGACTTAATTGCGAAACCGTCTGCCCGACGAATGTCAAAGCACTTTTGCCCTTGTCACTGGGCTTGTCCGAGATAGACAGGGATGACGCATCCATGTCCGGAATTTTGCTGCTCAACTGTTGGAGAACCTCTGCAAAATCCTGGGAGGCGGCGGTCTCCACTCGGAACATTCCGTCTTTGGATCTGAATCTGAGAAGCTGAAAAGGGGTCAGTTATAAGGCGGAATGGAAGCTTAGGATACAAATTGGAACTCACCATGATATTCTATTTCCACAAAGCAGAACAATTGTGTCTCTGGGTAAACAGAGGAGAAGGGTACAACATACTCTTTGCCATCACATCAATATGTATGTAAGATCTAAATTCTTTGGCGCACGACTTTCATAATCCGCCGCAGGCCTGTTTAGACGGTGCGGCAGGTTGTACAGCAACGGAATTGAGCAACGCAGAACAAATCACCAAACTTTCAAAAAAACAAAATTAGCTGATCATATTAAAAATGCACGACAAGGTTTGCCCAACTTTGCATTTCGAATTCTAGTCATTTTTCACTGGCTTATTCCTGCCTTGAAGGCCTTTTCGGCCTTGTAGTACAAATTATCACAGCCACGACCCAAATTTGCACTCCCTACAGACGTTCCTCTCGAAGACACCCAGAACGAGACTCTTTTGAAACTTTCACAGAGTGTCTCGTTTCCGTTATTGTTGATTTGTGCCTAATATTTTCAACTCGAGACCATCTCAGGAGGTCACGATGTTTGCGCGCATACGGCATATACCTCTTGGAAGCTTTGCATCAAGATGTCAGTCCACAAAACGTGACCCGTATGAATTCTACAGATTGGCCGCGGAAGTAAAGCGCCACGCCAAATCGGACGCCGAAGCCATAGAAACACAATCACTCACTTTTGATACGAGGAGCAAGAAGGACGCCGACAACGTTGATTTAGAGACGATTTTCGGCAGCGCCACATCCAAGAACAAGAGTCTCAAATCGTCACGTCGCGACGTGAGTTACAGGGGGATTATCAAAAATATCGCAGGCGTCAAGGTGCCGAAACGGCCCATCGAGCCTGACAACTGCTGCATGAGTGGTTGTATCAACTGTGTGTGGGAGTTGTATGGAGAAGATGTGCAGGATTGGAAGGCCATCACCAAGTCGGCGGTAGAGGCTCTTCAGAAACAAGGCGACAACGTGAAGGAGAAATGGCCCGTAGACTTTGACCCCCCACCGGCATACTTGGATTCCAAGTATATTCCTGAAGAGCTTGCCTCTTTTAAAGCCACACCTCACCAGCCTCAAGAAATGCCATTAGGATTGAGTGCCTTTGTGTCACTAGAAAATAAGTTGAAGAAGAAACATGCACATGATCGGCCGATTGAGAATGCGAGAGAGACAAGAGAGGCAAACCAGCCGGTTACATAAATTCAGTCATAGAAGGTTCAAAGCCACGCACATATCGTCCAGCCATTTTACACCCACCAACATGAACACCGTTTACACTCTGATCACAAAACGCATATTTGTATTAATGTTCTGCTAAACTTCAAACTATTCGACATCAACCCCGTTCTTCTTCGAGAACGTTTTGGCCTCTTTGATTTCCTGGTTGGGGGTTAGTAACTGTAAATAATTTCTGATAATGAAAATCCATTCATTTCAATTTCAAAGTCTCACATACCTCTAACAGCTCTTTGTATTTATCCTCCTTATCAATAAACGTGAAGACACCCCATCCAAGAGTACCCAGAGCATAGGCTCCAAAGGCCACCAAGGCCCAGAATGGGAGCACCGGCAACACCTCGTCGTGGAAGGTCTTGGGGGTAGGTATCACACCAACAAACAGACTGCTGTAGATTGCAGTCACAGTGAAGATTGCCAGTAAAGTCTCTGTGAATCTTGTCATGGTTGTGAGTAGTTGTAGTAAAATGAAACGAGAAGGACAGAGTGTGAACCTACTTGACGTGTCTTGTCTTGAGACCAAGAGGTAGTGTAGAGCTCAACAATTATTGGATTTGAACACCGGGAAATTTAAAGCAGGTGAGTGAACACTCTAAAGACAGGTAAATTTTCATAATTCGAATAAAAAGGCCCGTTCTGGTAAGGAAACAAGTGATGCGAACTTTTGGCAAAAAAATAGGTAAATCTCTTTGTAAAGCGTGTCATCCTTATGCAGGGGCCATGCTGATCTTCTCTGTATTGTTTCAAATTGACCAAATGTCCCGAAGGACCTCGTTATTGATATTTTTCTAGCTATATAGTTATGGATCTGCGAGCGCACGACAGTTTCAGAGTAATGAGGAATATGATTTAAAAGAACATCAACAAAAGTTTTGGTTTGGTTTCTAGATCCTCTCAGAGTACAGATTACCTGAATACTCTGGAATCAGGTTTATTAAAGAAAGGGAATGAGCCGGGAGAAGTGTCATCTTCTTTTCTATAGACAAGTTGCACCATGCCAGTGATTTATCAGTCGTGAAGAAAACATAAGAATCATTACAAACGTTTCAAAGGATCGAAAAAAATAGTTCTTACGTACCCGACAAGAACATCTTCACTCCAGCTCTGTATAGAAGCCCTTATAGCCGACATCAAGATCAAACAATAACTGCTTGCAGTCATCATCGGTTAGCTGGTCATTGATCCCCAGATTATTCAGCTTTATCAACCAATTGATGAGCTTGGAACGGCCATCGAATTCTTTCCCATTCAGGACTTTATTGATGGAGGTAACTAGGTCTGAAAGAAGGGGATGCAGTTGGTCCTTAGTACGATAGTTCAACTTCACAGCATCCATGGTGGTTATGAAGTTGCCAGTTGCCTCAGCCACCGCACGTGCCGATCTATTTCCTCCATTCAAATCAGAAATTCCAACCTGACTTTGTGAACCGGATTGGGCATTAAGATTCCTGGTAGATATGGAATGCTCCACTGTAGCAGGAACTCCAATGTTGATTCGACTTTTGGCCAGAGGACAGTCGATCTTGTATTCCTGGCAAAACTTTTCAAGTGAACCAAACTCCCTGCTCACATCTTCATCTTTGAGAAGAACCATATACTGGTTTAGCAATCGCGTAACGGTTCTGGTGTATTCGTCATTACCATCAACCCCGTGTTCGAAATGAAGCGAATCCTTGATGAAAGCTTTTTCCAAACAGTTCAGAACAATTATGATGGAATATATCTCGCCCAGCGATTCATATAAGTTTCTCTCCTTGTTCGATGTGTATAGCTGTATCTCAGAGTTCAAAGGCAGCCTGGAGGAGTTGATCAGGTTGATGGATATGTTCCTTGACAACGTTGGCGTAGGAGCATATGGCGGCAAAGCTTGGGGATCCATTGAAACTGATCACAATCAACACAGTCACGGGTTTATTTTGACGATAATTAGCGTATTTGTGGTGTTGCCTGAGGTTGATGATGTGCACAACTAACTGACTGTCCTGGATATGCCGTTCAACTGCAAGCCCATCTCTCTCTCGCCACATGAGCCGCACGACCTTTTTTCAACGCTATTGGTCCAATGACTGTTTTAATGGTAAATTGAACAACTAGTCTGAGGAACTGATTCTTTCTACTTCAAGATTATCAGCAACTGCCTAAAATTTGGCAAAAAAAATTATAGCGGCGAGTAGTTTCGATCTACCGACATCAGGGTTATGAGCCCTGCGCGCTTCCACTGCGCCACGCCGCTGAATCAAGGTCCATTTTGTGTGTGAGGTGACTATATTGCTCTACATGCTCGCTCACCCGAGTGCCGCGTACCGCGTATCTCGCAACGATCGGCTTTACAGGTGCTAGAAAAAAACAGTATCAACAGGAAGCGGCATAAATGCGCGGGTTTCAACAAAAATAACCAATGAGCTACGATAACAGGTCCCAATCATAAACTATTTTCTTCATTAATCAGATCTCTTGCTCGTGAATGCTTTCGCCGAATTTAACCATGAGCAGAATGTGCCCTTTGATGAACTCCTCACCGACCTTCAAATCTCTCTGAACAGTTTCACAAAGCCTGATACAGTCATCTATACTCGTCTTTGCGTTGGAAAGAGCGGAAGAACTAAGCCAATCATTGCTGTTGAATCCTTGCCTTATCGTGTTGATCAAGATCAGGGCAGAGTACACAGTCATGAACTTCACCATATCTGCCGACTTCAAAAACTCGCCATAGTTGGAATTACAAGCAATGGTAAGCATAGCTATGGATTCCTCCAGTATCTCGTTCAACAAAGCACCCAGTGTAGCCGCTCCAAAGACAGGGTCAGCGTGTGCCAAAGGAGACTCTATATCCTGTGACCGCGATCTATGTATCATGAAATCTTCGCTCTTTGAGAACTTGACCATAAACTCTCTTCTTAGTAGCATAAGTCGCGCAAAACGATAAGTCAGCTCGATGAATTGGCCCAGAGGTTGCTGTTCGCAGAGATATTCCCAATCGTTCCAGGTTGAATCCAGTTCTGCCATTGAATCTTCCAGTGATTCATGAAACTGGAGACAATTGTATAGGGTTAGTAGGATCGATAATTTAGCCACCACCCTGGCATCAAAGTTTCTTGCCAGCGTTAAATCTAGGATTTCACGGCATTGATCCAGACGAAGCTCATCTATAAGGCACGGTCTTCCAGAAAGGATGCAATGAGATAGATGTATCAGAGCCAAATGGTTCCAAAGTCTGAAGTGGTTCATTCTTTCAGGATGTGACTTGAACTTTTCTGACAAAAAGTTGAGGTTCATTTCTCTGGTAATGTAGTGAAGCAAAGCATATCCAGAGAGGAACCAACCATCAAAATATATAGAGCCCTTAGAACATGAAAGCGAGTACGCAGAGAGCAAAACCATAGATTGCAAGAACTGCTTTGATTGTGGAAGATTTTGCAGACTCAGCGAAAGAATTTGGGAAATAACACCCAATATCTGCATATCCAAGCCTATCCTTTTGACAACACCGTCATAATGCCTCAGTCCAAGCAGACAGCACACGGCAAGCAACAATGAGGAATCTTTCCGAATAGATTCGAGCAATTGCTTTGGTTTCACATCCTGCGGAAACGAAGTCCATTTACCATACATCTCATTGCAAACTGTAACCAAATCCTTGGCCAATTTGAGGGAAACAATACCCATATTCACCAAGTCATATTGAAAGGATAGCCTTTCCCTTTCAAAATCGGGCCGGATGTCATAAACCAATTCTCGGCTGAATGGCAAGCTGTAAAAAGAAGACACTTCTCTGACGTCTCTGAAAGGAGTCGTATTGAAAAAAGTGGTGTCCAGGTCGATTGCTTGCGGCTTCTTGTTCCCCATTGCCATTCCGTCCGGGACTATAGCCGGAGCAGCAGATATAGCGTTGATTGGTGGTTGGGCTGGAAATGTTGCCGCATTCATACTTTGGCCTAACAAGTGGGCCATTCCACGGTGTAGATCATCTACCTTTCTTGTCAACGTAACCAGCATTTCATCGTCACGCTCCGGAGAGGCAGCAATACCCAGATCCACAGAATCTAATACTCCAATCTGTAGACTTGCGAGAGAACACGATAATTTCATCCTGTCGCATCGCACACAGCTCCGCTTAGATGGAAGATGCACGCATTTGGCCTTTGCCTTCCGACACTGAACACACGCCACTGATGCGCGTATCAGGGCATGCTTCCTCTTTTTTTGTGAGGGTCCCTCGCTGTAACTATTGGTGATATCCATGTGAAGCGGGTGGACTGCGTCGGGGCGGTGGAAGAACCCGTGTTCGAGCTCTATGGGGTAGATGAAGCAATGCACAAAGTAGTGCATCCTGCATGATGTAGCCGCACTCCCAATTTGGCTTAGGACGAGGTGACTAAACATGGAGTCAAATCATCAACTCACGGTATAAATATCGACATACATATAGCGTCTGTAATAATTCTGTGCTGATCTGTACGTATGTGGTGTTTATTTATTGACACTAGAGTGCTCACATAGTGTGTATGGGTAGGTGCATGCGTGTATGCGTGTGCATACATGGAGTGCGCACGGAAAGTCTTTGAAGTGTATATATAAATCATATGTAAAACTTTACATATCTGATGAGAACCTTGTATGAAATAGGTAGAGAATCAGCCAATTTATCTGAAATCATACCAAAGTTCCACTGCTGCCATATACTCAGTTGGGGAGCAAATGTATACAGAGTAGTTATCAATTCTATTCCGCATAAGCTTTATAATATTATATCAAAATCTAACTCATTCTATCTAGAGTTTACAAACCTTCTATCATTCAGAAAAACAATCTTGCGTCTATCCACTCCTATTCAGAATCCTGAAAACTTCCTACCAGCAACTTCAGATACTTGGCCCCGTCCACGGTTTTTGCGGCCTGTATCGTCGGTAGATGAGTCCACTTGAAGTTCTTTCTCCTGTCAACAATGACCTGGCCCAATGAAAGAGTACTCTGGGTCTCAACGGCTACACTGACCTCTTCCGTCTCCATGATGCTTGCATCGATGGCAAGCGCGACGGCCAAGGAGTCGATCAAGGCACAGTAATCGCCATGGCCACGTTTGCGCAAAAAGGCAAGAACTCCAGTCACAAACTTCGCAGCCACAGAGCTGGAAGCCAGAAGCTGATTGTGAGACTCTGGTGTCATCGCAATGGATGGCTGACAGAAAATGTCCATTCCAATGGCAGTTAGATCGAATCCCGCGTTGAAAACAATCTCTGCAGCTTCTGGATCCACGTAGATGTTCCATTCACTAACGGGATTGTCACCAGTAGCATGCAAACCTTCGCAGATATTGAACCCAAAAGACCCTCCGATGATGATCACCTTGCCAATTTTTTGCGGCAAAGAAGGGTCTTTGATCAAAGCAAGAGCCAGGTTGGTGAGAGGTCCAAGTGCGACGAACGTTATATCGCCCTGGTACTTGTTGGCAGTATCAATAATAAGGTCAGTAGCGTTGTGAATATCCTGGGTATACTTGTTTTCCATTTTGAGCTCTTCCATATCCAAATCTGCCATTCCGTCATCCCCGTGGAAAAATGGATCTCTTGGATAAGGTCTCACTAAAGGCTTCTCCGGGCCTTGGCCCAGAGGGACGTCCGTCCTTTCCACCATTGTGAGGATCTTCTTGACATTCTCAGTGCATCTGCTGGCTATCAAATTTCCCGAAACAGTTGTTATCGCGCGAACGTTAAGATTTCCAGGCGCCAGTGCAAGAAGCAGAGCCGTGGAATCGTCGATACCAGGATCGCAATCTATGATCGCATTTCTGGTGGGACTTGCAACTGTCATTGGAAGGACGTTCCGTGATGAATGAAGGGGCCGAAGAATGAGAAAAAGCAGATAGAGCAGATGATAAAGGATATATAAAGGGGCGCTATCCAAAAAGGACCGATTAGAAGGGTCCAAGCAAGACAAAACGGTATGACCTGCCGCCCCAAAAGCAATATTTCCAATCGCGGTAGGCAAGTCATCCCGAGCCACCTGAGCCCACTCCACGGCGCCTGAACAACCAATCACGATCAGTTTTGGCCTTAGAAAAACAGACGGTTCAGGCCCATATTCACCGGAAAATTTGGAGGATCACCCGTGACGGCATCCCGGCCGGCAAGCCGCACCTCATCGCCCCTAATTTGTAAGTGTCAAACGTGTGGAGATAGCCGTCTATGCTTAATTGCTACCTTTTTCGCCCCCCTTTAGCCTTAGATAGGGGTAGGAATCCTGGTTCTGTCTTAAATTATCGTCTGACTCCGTTTACCAATTACAGGCTACACAGGTCCTGAAGAAACCGCGTATATATAGAAGGAAGATCTCTCCTGTTCTCAGCCGTATCGGAGTTGCTATCAAAGCGTCTGCACTGGAATTTAGCAACCGTTCACAAAAATGTCTGGTTCCGTTAATTCCAAGGTGCTCATGGCTATAGCAGTCTACTGTGCCATCATGAACGGATGTACTATGGGTTTTGACCAATCCATGATGAACAATGTGAACATCATCGATCAGTACATCGACTACTTCAATCTGAATTCCAGCATGGAAGGGCTTTTCAGCGCCTCGATTAACATTGGCTCTGTTGTTGGTGGTTTTTTTGCCAGTCAACTTATTGAACAAAAATGGTGTGGAAGAAAGGGAGGTATTTTGGCCAGTGCACTGATCACGTACCTTGGGGTTGCCCTGCAGACTGCTGCACAGAACCGTGCCATGTTCTGCTGTGCAAGAATAATTATCGGAATCGCTGTAACTGTCAATGCGGTTGCGGCTCCCACTTATGTCGCGGAAATGGCCCATCCCAAGGATCGTGGATTTTTGACCGGAATCTACATGGCTTCGTGGTATTTCGCTGCCGTTATCGTCACTGGTATTGCACTTGGAACCTACACTATCAAGTCCTCATGGGCATGGCGTTCTATCTCATTGTGCCAAATTATCCCCTCGTTGCTTAGTGTGCCAGTCTTGCCATTCATTCCAGAGACGCCGCGGTTTTTGGTTTTTGTCGGTAGAGACGAAGAGGCTCTGGATGTGCTTGCTAGATTCCACGCCAACGGAGATCGCGACTCTGAGCTGGTTAAGGCCGAATACACTGAGATCAAAGAGGTCCTGGAGTTTGAGAAGGAGAGCCGCATCGGCTGGTTGGACATGTTCAAGACCAAGGGCAATAGATGGAGAATGTGGATCATCTTCTGGATGGGTGTGTTCTCGCAGTTATGTGGTTCCAACATTGTTGGAACGTATCTTGGTGTGTTTTTGGAAAACGCAGGAATCACTTCAACCCGCAAGGAGATCGTCCTCAACTTGGTGCTGCAGATTTGCAACTTGGTGTTTGCCGTTGCTGGCTCATACTTCACCGAGGGGTTGGGCCGTGTGCCAATCTTGCTTTGGTCTACCATACTAATGGCTGTTTGTCTGTTCCTCATGGGAGGACTCCAGAAGGTGTACGGGGATGGCACTAATACGAACGGAACCAACGCACTCATCTTTTTGGCCTATCTCTTTTCGGTGACGTATTCGTTTTCGTTCACTCCTCTGTGTGTGTCATACCCAGTCGAGATCGTCAATTACTCTATCCGTACCAAGGGAATGGCTTTCTCGCAGATTGTGACTTTCGCTTTCGGTTTCTTCAACCAGTACGTGATCCCCATTGCGCTGGACCATATATCGTGGAAGTTCTACATGATCAATGGCTCCTACAACATTGTACAGGCTGCCATCATCTACTTCACTTTTGCCGAAACTAAGTCTTTGACCCTAGAGGAGATTGACGAGGTCTTCGACGGTGTTGTCCACTCCAAGGTCAGGATTGGAAACGTCCACAAATTCGAGGGCAACCATTCTGCAGAAGTGGAGATTGACAATGTTGCCGTTGAAACCAAGTCGGGCTAGACATTTTTAAGTTATATAGTTTATTTTGATCGTAATGAAATATATGACAGCTTTGTAGCGGAAAGAGGAATTTTACGGAGATTGACTGAAAATCCAAAATTATCAAAAAATTGATGGAAGATGAAGAGTATTCAGGGACTGAAAATAGTTGACAGCATAAGCTGGAATTTCTTCGACAAAACTGAATATTCTACTATACACTAACGGAAGAGTTAAATTCAAACAGCCACTCCATAATGGGCCAAAAATAACTAATTAGTAACCATAGCAAAGAACATTGCACCGTGTTCACTACTGGTCGTTATCTTCGTTATCGCCTTATCATGGTCGTGTACTCACAACTTCCATTCTTGTATTGAATCCTAACGGCTCAAGAGAGCCAATCTTGAAGTAGGAAGAGATTATTCCCTGCATGTATCAAAAAAGTCTCAAAAGTTTTTCGTGGTGTGTGGTGGTGTAGATAATCCACTAAAAAAAATCAAGTTTCCGAAGATTTTCCTCACTGGTTCTTCAAAGGGTGTCAACCACCAGAGCAGGGCTCGAAATTTTTGTTGAAGCCGGGTATTTGGAAATGGAGCTTTTTTTCTCTGCAACTACTATTTTTTGGGTTCAAGAACCCTTAACAAAAATCTCGGATCAAAAACCCTGGCTCTCGGAGGATACTAACGAACTAAACGGGTATATAAATGTCGTGTGAGACATCTCGGCCGTCTATCAGTTAAGATCTACCGATGTTTATTAGGGTAACCCCCGCCAAGCCACAGTGGCTTGGCGCCGCGCGCATGCGACACCACGGCCAAATAATCGTCCGTGAAATTGGCGAATTAGTAGATCTGGGGCAGACCAGGTTGGCGAAACTAGGTGCCCGACAATAAAACCATACTTTTGAACAGTGTTGGAGATATTGGTGTTCTTTATTGCTTAGACAGTGCGTGTTTGGCTTTTAGTGTCAATATAAGCCATCACATCTAGCCAGATCTGGCCTAAAATGGACATTTTGATGCGATGTGTGCAAGCCCATTCCGGTCAAAGCATTTCCGAAAAGGGCAAGAGATCGTGAAAAAAGCAACCATCCGGGATTTGCGTCATAGACTGGCCATGATTTTGGACTACTTGAAAATTCGGTGATCGCAGCAGGAAACTCCAGTGCGGTGAGAGTCGGAGCGGCGTCTATATAAACACGGTCTAGATCTGATTAAAATTCTGCATACGGTAGAAAGTGAAAGCACGAAGTGTAGAGATGGGCTGGGGTTGCCTGCTAAGCAGCGGTACACTGCGGCAGTTGCACTCTTCGCAAACCAAAAAGGCCACCTAGTCAATATCCGACAGCCTTCTAAAAGCTATCTAAAAACTATCTGGAAGCCATCTAAATGCAGCTAAATAAAATTTCCCCAACTCACCGAATAAAATACCCGCAATTATGGCTCGATCCTCGAGATCGAAATTAACTCACTTGCCCGGCCAATGAAGCAAGTCGTGCGGCCGCCTGCAGATGTGCACCCCCGTAAACGTGGCTGGTGGTAAACACGCTTAGAGGGCCCAGCCACCTTCCGCAGGCTGAGAAGGGGGACCCAGCCCTGCCCTCGGCCTCCTTTCTGAAACAGTTTTCGATCCCTTTTTTTCCCAGCGTTTTTTTCTTCACAACCTCGTCGACGTTCTTTTTATTCTAGCTACCAACTGAATTCACTCCTTTGATATTTATCAGCTAGATTTCCGCCAGTCTTTCCTTTCCCTTTCTTGATTTAGACCGTGTTTGCCCGAAGTGTAAACATAGCTAGATTCATACGCAAAGACTCAAGAAAACATTGCTAGAAAATTTCGGACCAACAACAACATCATGAGATTTTCGGCATCCGTTCTGCTGGCAACAGTGTCTGCAATGGTCAGCTCTGTTTCGGCCTCTTCTTGCTCATACGTTGATGGTAATTACTACTGTGATAGCGTGTCAGCCGTTGTATACTCTGGCATTGGCTACTCTGGCTCTTACTCAGACGTGACCGACATGGACGAGGACTCTTGTTCGTGTTCGCAGGAGACCGTCAAGTTCTCCGGAACGATGTCGCCTCTCGACGAGGAGCTTTCTGTCCATTTCAGAGGCCCTCTTCAGCTGCTCCAGTTTGGTGTTTACTATCCTTCGGGTTCCAGTGCCAAGAAGCTTGCCAAGCGTGAGGAGGAGTGTACCACCACTGCACACGTTCACCACAAACACAAGCGTGCTTACGAGTATGTCGAGGTTACTGCTACGGTTTTTGTTGATCAACATGGAAACACCATCACCAAGTCAGAGAGCAGCACCCTGACTTCTTCCAGTTCATCTTCTGCTGAGACGTCTTCCACTGAGGCGTCCTCAACTGAGTCCTCCACTGAGTCCTCTTCTGAGGCTTCTTCCACGCAGGCCTCTTCTACGGAGTCCTCTGAGTCTTCTGCCTCGGCTTCGTCCACAGAGTCATCTGCCACATCTTCTTCCACATACTCTGCTGGTTCCTGGGAGAGAGTTTCGTACTTCGAGCCAGGTTCGACAGACAACGTCACTTTCTTGAACACTCTTGGTGGAACTACTTCGTCCGGTACCTGGTCTTCGTGTTTCGGTAACTCGTTGTCGTACTGTGCCTCTAACGGTGAGGATGCCTCTTCTTCTGCAGAGGCTCTCAACAAGGTGACCATTCCTTCCGACACCGAGTACATGATCTTCTCGGGATCTGACTGCTCAGACTCTTCTGTTGGTGACTGTGGATACTACAGATCTGGCATTCCCGCTTACCACGGCTTTGGAGGTGCTTCCAAGATCTTTGTGTTTGAGTTTGAGATGCCTACCGCATCTTCCTCTGAGTCCGATTCTTCCAACTACGACATGCCTGCTATTTGGCTGCTCAACGCCAAGATCCCAAGAACTTTACAATATGGCGACTCATCGTGTTCGTGCTGGTCTACTGGATGTGGTGAGCTCGATCTCTTTGAAATTCTGAGCTCTGGCTCTGACAAGTTGATCTCGCACATTCACGATGGTCAGGGTGACAATGGAAGCAAATCCGGTGGTGCTGGATCCCAGGACTATTTCGACAGACCAACTTCCTCTTCGTTGAAGGCTGCTGCTATCTTCGAGAACGGTGAGGTCCACATTGTCGTTCTTGACGACGACACTGACTTTGGTTCTTCCCTTGACAGTGACACTGTCAGCACGTGGTTGGATGTCACCGGTGGTTCTGCCTCCCTTTAAATGATTTGAAGTCTCATATCAGCAGCGACTAGGCTAGGGCTCTGGTCGTTGCCTTTTGGGATCCTACAAATTGTTCAAGGCTTCCCGCAAAATACTCTCCGTGGTTGACTTATGTCGACGCGGGTCTGTTCTTCTGTTCTTGTTCGTTTTTCCTGGTCTTATAGTTAAATTTGATGTTCATATTAGAATAACTGACTTGTAAAATAGCCTGTAATATTGATCATCAGATATTTATGATTCTCTTGGCTGGAGACATATTTTTCGTCTTTTTTCATATCTTCTATCTGATTTACAGACGCATGCCTTACACTTGAATCTTTACTTTACTAAACTATACTCCGAAATTATGGCTTAAAAACATACAAAAATCCATAATTGTTCAACACTAATATCCAGCAGCTTAAATATCAACTTCGTCAGGGAAGGCACTCAGAATCCTCTCCTTCTCTTTCAGGTCTTCCAGCTCCTTTTCGGGAGTCCAGTTTTCATACTCTTCCTCGGATCCAACTGGTCTCTCGGCTTGTGGAGTGACTCTAAAGGCATGTCTCAGCTCAGGTGTATCCCAGTTGACTGTTGGGGAGTGAAGAATTCTTCTGTTATCCCACAAAACAACGGTACCAGGCTCCCATCTCACATGGACCTGGATGTCGATCGAAGACTCGATGTGGTTCGAGATAAAATCCAGAAGGTTCTTGTTTTCCGCATCCTTAAGCCCTAGGATCCTAGTGACAAACCCGTTGCCTGCAAAAAGAGCCTTTTTCTTGAGAACAGGATGATATCTCACGAGTGGATGAATCGACTCCACAGGATCTCTTCTGAAAATTCCACCATTCCTAATCGAATCGTTGGCAACAGCAATTCCCGAATGAACCGCTTTGAGACCATCCAGAAGGCCCTTCATCTTATTACTCAAACGATCATAGGCCTCGATTGTGTCAGCGAACACAGTATCCCCTCCTGTCACTGGACCCTGCACAACGCAGTACAGAGTGACACCAGGAGGTTGCAACTCAAACGACACGTCCGAGTGGAAAAGACAACTATTCATTTTTGTTGCAAACATACGCTTAATCTCGGCAGGATCAGGGCGAATGTAGACGATATGGAGTTCTGGGTGGTCCTTGGGAGCACTTGTCGTTGGATGAATATGAAGAGGGCCAAAGTGTTCACCCCACTTCTTGACAAAATCTGGCGACCTATCTTTGAAATCTTGGTTGCGGAAAACGACCACTCCACGTCTCTCAACCAAAAGAGCTAAATCGTCTTTGGCCTCTGGTGAAAGTGTCGACAATTGGATGCCGGACCGGATCTCGGTGCCGAGTTTTGGAGTTAGGTCAAATTGATCAACGGGCCCATCCGCATCTGCTAGCAATCTTTCATAGCCAGGATCTCCGAAAAAGCCTCTATCAACAAAATGGAAAGGTTCCAGTTTTGGGTATTTCTGGCTGGGATCCCAAGTTGGCAGGAATTGCGGGTACTTAGCATCTTTTGCATCTTTATCGGGGATCGTCAAAACACCGTCCTTGACAGTGTCAATGTCCTTGCGGAAATGAGTGGTCACCGGCAGATTGTTTGTCGTAATTGCAGCAAAAACCATATCTGAAATATTTTCTGCAATAATCTCAGCGACCTTAGAAGTGGGCGAAGCGCTTGGGAGGTCTATGCTACTGTTTATATATCGTACAATGGGCAAAAAAAGGGCTACTAAGAAAGCCTCAAAATTACATCATTGATTGTGGAGTCACATTCGCACACATATTTGACCGTTTTAGAACATTGACAATCTGCTTTGGTTCCACAGCAGCCAATATAGGGCTTCAACCTGTGGAGTCACAGCGACTGTGGAGTGTGGCCTCGGGCTATCTTAATAATGTTGCTGATGCAGTTCTCATTGTTCCTAAATTTTGGTGGATTTGAGAACGGGGGGTCGGCATTTTTCTTTGTGTAACTGTACATTCTTCTGAATCTTTTTGAGAGCCCATATGGTCCTTTTTCGAACGGTTAATATTCATATGACCCTTGAAACCCCGCTGCAGCCTACTGCAGCGGCCTTCGACCGAGCCTGCGGGGTGACTCGCAAAGGAGCTCCACAATTACATCAATGTCATCCACATTGAGTCACCCTTTATCTTTGCTTTCAGAAATAAAATAAACCGAGCCAATGAGAGTACAGCCACAGTGACAGATATCAATCCCGATACGGTAACGAGCCGCACCTCAGTGGCGTATGATGCCGATGCCACACTGCATGATTGTGAGATTAATTTATCCGATCACGAACATTCCAAGCACGGATCCTTTTGGCGGACATCTTCCCGAGACCGGACAACTGATGAACTGTGGAAAAGATGGAAAAGACTGTGGAAAAGACTGTGGAAAAGATTGTGGTGCATCATGTGGATATTTTTATTGAATTAATGGGGCTTCAGTCATGACCAGAGGAGGATATAATGCAGCTGGCGTGCCAGACTTTGCCTTTACAAAGGGCGTCTTAGTAAGAAAGGATTCGAAGCTATATCGAAATTAGATCGAGGAAAGCATTAAATCCCTTTGAAATCATCTCGATCATTTAACGGGACTATCTACGATGCCTAAATTGTGGTTTCCAAAATGGCAGCCTAAGTGTCCGAAATGGCTGCCTCATTACAGACCCATCGATGAGGATGAGCTTGTATATGAAGATGTCAGTGTTGAAACCAAAGGAGACGAGCCCGTTGAGATTCGCGAGTTTAGAGACGAGGCCAACAAAAAGTGGTATGATTACTTCGATGAGTACGAATATCGTGAAACGAAGGAAGAGTCTAAAAGCCACAAGTCCTGGTATTGGTTCGAGCCAGGAACGTCTGCGGCTGAGAAAAAGCTCATTTGCAAGCTGGACATCCTGATTGCCTTTTACTCCTTTATGGGATACTGGGTCAAATACATTGACTCTTCCAATCTGAACAACGCCTATGTCTCTGGAATGAAGGAGGATCTTGGAATGAAGGGAAACGATTTGATCAACACCCAGGTGCTTTTCTCAGTTGGATTGATTATCTTTGAAATTCCATGGGTCTACTTCCTTCCTAGAGTCCCAACAAACTATGCTGTTTTTGGATGTGAGACCATTTGGGCCCTTTTTACATTGATAATCTATAAAGCAAAAACCCCAGCTGCTCTCAAAGGATTTCGGTTTGTCGTTGGAGGTATGGAAGCCGTTTTCTTTCCATCTGTTCACCACCTTCTGAGTAACTGGTATACGCCCACCGAGATCAACCGCAGAGGTGGATTTTTCTACATGGGCCAGTTCCTCGGAGTTTTGACTTCGGGATTGCTCCAATCGGCTGCCTACAGGAATCTCAACCTCGTCAATGGTCTGGCGGGATGGCGATGGATGTTCATCATTGATGGGTGTCTTTCCTTTGGGGTTGCGATCTTGGCTCTGTTTATGATTCCAGGTACTCCTACCAAATGTTACTCTCTGTTTCTGACAGATGATGAAGTCAGACTGGCCAGAAAAAGAATGGCTAGGAACCATTCCAACATGGCCATTCCAACAGTCAAATCTTTCTTTAACTGGGGAATTTGGAAGAGAGTCCTAACCTCGTGGCAGGTCTGGGTCTTCTCGGTTGCCAATATGTTGCTGTGTAGCGACAACAATACCAGTTCCGGATCTTTTTCGCTTTGGCTTAAGTCACTGGATAGATATTCTGTCGGCAAGCTGAACAACCTCACTACCATTCCTCCTGCACTTGGAATTGTATATCTGTTCATCTCGTGTTTCGGAGCCGATTTCACCAGAAAACGGTTCCTGATGATGATTTTCCAGAACACAATGAATTTCATTGCTAATGTCGTCCTGGCAAAGTGGGATGTCAGCGAAAGTGCCAAGTTGTTTGGTTTTTACATGTCATACTGGTCCTGGACTCCTTCTTCAATCTTCAACCCGTTGCTGCACGATATGCTGAGACATGATGTGACACAGCGGAACATCGAATGGATGGTTGTGTACATCATGGGAACCCAATCGGCGACCTGGATTTCCAAGCTGATCTGGCCAACCGTTGATTCTCCAAGATATCCTGCTGGATTTTCGACCTGCGCTGGTTTCTCTATGGCACTTTCGTTCGTGCTTGCGCTTGCCTACGTGCTGTACAAACGTGATGAAAGAAGAGGGGCTCTTGAGTATGGAATTTACGTCTACAACTCTGCCAAGGGTGAGACTATCCCTCCAGAATATGAACACAGCGCCACTGTGTCGGTCACAGAGGAGAAACACCTCATTGAATCTGATAGTGATAAAAAATGAATGTATACTTCAGACACATCAGGTGTTTTGAAGTGCCTTGAGATCTTGACCATTTTTCTATTCTATATTACATATGTTTTTTTGCCAGAGTTCTACTCAATAAAATATTCTCATCTTTTCTAGGAGTATTTGTACGTTATCGACTATTATGGCGTGGTGGGCTTACGAGGATTCACGGTTGAGCCGCACGTAATGTGGCTCACGAGGATTTTGGTTCAATGATTCTGCAATTTGGTGGATCTGAGTTCGTAAAATGCTGAGTTAAATTTTGTCAAAGCCGACTTTTTATCTAGAAGTTCAATTTTTTTGTATCTACGGTGAGATTTCTATCACCAAATCATTTGCTGCACTTCAAAAACCTCCACTATCTTCAAAGGGTACAGTAAATTAACCACGTTCTCTACCGACTATCTCCTCTACCATCCTCGGCATATCAATGTGTATAGCATGAGTATACACCAATCATACAGTAAAACATGTTCAACAATGTCGTATGCATTTTACATGTCCCAGGTCACATGGTTCTTTTGGACTGCCTAAAGAGCATGTGGACCAGCCTGTACATGCATATGCTAATATACATATCATAAATCTACATCAGACTTATGTGCTCAATATTCTCTGTGAGCCTAGTTGGTTTTATGAGATTTGTTCTCCAGAATGTCGTAAATCAGTAGGAGATGCAAGTATTCCATGGCGCGTCACTGTACCGAGGTCGATGCCATCGCCATGCATTGTAATATCTGCCTTAAAACTTTTCACTCTTCTTCTCGCCTTTCGCCGAAACATTATCCCCGGCCAAACCCGATTTCAACGAAATTTTTGAAAAAAATCGCTTGGCCAAGAATTGTGTTAGTCGGTCTCGCTATGATATCTACATATGGGCTGGATATTCTCCACCACACAACTACACGGTAACTCTACTGATAGTACTGCAAATTCGCATCAAATTCTCAAAAATTCAGGGATAAAAACTTAATCCCTGCTCAAACGGGTGAACAATAGAGACTCAGCAGTAGAAAAAAGGACAAAACGAGAGGAAAAAGAAACGACTTGCGAGGGCCTCGAGGTAAGTAATTTACCCAAAGCGGTAATCGAAGCCAAAAAAATGATCATACATGGATCCAGAAGCTTTCACGATGGATCCTCGACCATTGTGAGGATATTAGAAGTGGCAGCGAATAGAAAACCCGAGTGGGAATTCTTGGCGGCGGGTCTCCGTTAAGCTATATGAATCTCATGTGCAGATGGTGGAAACGTTTTCAGTGTTTCCTTCACAATAACGAGGTCAGAAGCAGACTCAGCGCAAACATGATACCGGTAGACTTTGCGCTGCCCCCTGCAGATGCACCTTCAGCCTTAGAGCTGGAAGAGCTTGAGCTTGAGCTCGTAGTTGCCGTAGACTTGGCGGCACTGGAAGAGGCCTTGGTTCCAGAAAGGGTCACTCCTGTCTGAGAGTTGTATGTGTTATATCCAGAGAACGTGGCGATGGCAGATTCTGTAGCAACGTCACCCCCACTTGCGAGCTCGATCTCATACCCTCCGTATTTCTCGCTTACATCTACCAATTTGCCAACATTGGTAGCATTGACTCCGTTCTTGATCAGGTCTTTGATCTCAGATGGCTGGTCAGGAAGAGTGAAGTTGGCTCCAAAACTGGAAAAGTAAGACTTCACTGTTTTGGCATTACACTTGATAATTTCAGCATCGGCAACATCGTCCTCAGAAATACTTGGAAGACTCACGTCTTCGAACTGAGACTTCAAGTTGTCGTAGTCTGTGTAAAATTGGAGATCTCCATCGCTATCAATGTCCACCAAACCGTAGTTGTTGCTTTCCTTGGAATACTCATAAACCAACCCACCCGAGAAAGTGTTGATCAGACCACTGTAAAGACCTTCAGTAACTTCGTCAAATGTTCTAGGAGTTACTGCAATACATCCGTATTCCGAAAACAGCAATGGGATCGCACTATCTTGGAAGGTGTTGTTCAAAGTACCGTATCCAGACGATGCCCAGTCAGATTGACCAGAACACCATTCATAGGTATTCAATCCAAAGAAGTCCGACTTGGACTCATCGTCCTCATCTCCGTCAATGTTACACTGCAAGTATTGCCAGGTGGCTCCTCTGTAGTCAAGTTCGTTGGCGGCAGAGTAGCCAACGGGAATAGACCTGTCGGCATGGGCAGCGATGTACTGCTTCATATCTCTCTGTAGAGCACGAATGTACCTTGGGTCTTCTTTGGCTGAAGCATCATCGTTGATGATCTCGTTTCCGGAGAAGAAACCAATTACGTTGGGGTAATTCTTGAAGGCCTCAATCACCTTGAACACACGGCTCAAATAGTACGAGTTGTACGTGGAGGCCGGATCAGCCCTGTTCAAGCTTTCGCCCCCTAGAGGGGAATTGACATCCAGCATCACATAGATTCCGGCATCGTTCAGAATGGACATACATTTGTCATGGTTCACGTCAGGGTTTACAGTGTAGATTCTGACGGTGTTGGCTCCAAGCTCTTGCAGCACATACGCATCACGGTAGCACGCATCAGCGTCGCTCAAAACGTCAGAATTAGAACTGGAGGAGTAGTCGGAGGATCCACCTGGTTGGTAGTCAACTCCCATGATAAAAAACACTTCGCCAGCCTCTTTAGCATCAACGGCAGGTTTGATGAATCTGTTGCCCTTGATTTCCAGAGGGATAAGCGCATTTGCAGAGCTCAGAAGAGCAATAAGAAACTTGGCTGTCGATAGCAGCTTCATTTTGATAGCAGATTGGGGCAACGAAAGACTGGAGTTAGGGTGAAGAATTAGAACAGAGGAAAGTTTCAGCCATGGCAGCCTGAATTCTTAAGGCTCCTCGGGGGGTAAACATCATTCATCACGTGACTTCCGACAACATCCGAGGGCGTGACTGTGGCAGGTGTGCGGCTCAAGAGAGAATACTTGTTGGAGATATGGGGTTTGGGCTGTTCTCCAACAGGACTTCGGCTCTAGCGCAGCTGTTCAGGTGTGCGAGATACTTCTTAGCGTATCGCAGGTCTTCCACCGTCCTCTTGCCTGATTTGGCCAATTCGTCGCGGGAAAACTGGCCCACCGTCACCGTGCCACAGTCGACAACGAGGCGTCGCCTTTTGTCCAACTGGAGAGTCAGTGTTAAACTGTGAGAAATACCAAACAGCGACGCTGAGGTATGACTAAGGCTGGGGGAAAATGTGGCTCGTGGCGTCAAATCAACAGAGTCATGTTTCTCCAGAATAGTGTCGACTCTGACCTTGACGTCAAGGCTTTCGCCTGGATCCGCTGAAACTTTGTCGAAATAGCTCGGAATCGCGACATTAAGTTCAAAACTCCGGCCTGATACTGGCACCACAGTGTCTGGATAGCTGACCGCTTCTGTAATGACTGTAACAACGGGCGGTATTCCACTAAGTGGGAATGTCACCTTCTCGACAATCTTGGCCTCGATCGTCTTTACATGGATATCTGTCTCAAGTCTAGTCAAATTAATTGGAGCAAGACTCAATACCAATGGGAGAGAATCGCCCGGTCCGACATAGCTGTAGGGACCATCCAAACGCAAGGCAAGCTCTCCGTCCTGGAAGTCCTGGTTCACAGAGATCTTTTCTTTTTCGTGCAAAGTCAGCCAACTGTCAAAAAGAGTGATAGGAATCGGATACCTGCGTATCACACTTAGACTTTCAAGTCCTTTATAGTGAAAGAAAACCTTGAATTCTAAAAATGAGTGACTTTTGAGAACAGTGGTATGCTTGCTCTTCTTTACCAGATGAAGCGTCGGATACAATTTTTCAGGAAGTAGCAGAGTAAACTTAATTTCAGTGTAGAAAGAGTCTGGAGAGTCTGCTTGGTCAAATATCACGTCTTCAGATCCCAAAATTTGCTTTTCGGTCACTTCTTTCGAGCCCAGCAACCTGTCTGCACCCACCAGTGCACTCTGAAAAGCTGTGAATTTTGTCTCCACCCGCTCAATTGAAAAGGGTTTGACACTATTACGCGCCTGTATCCTCAATACACCTTCAATTCGCGGCTGAACTCTTGGTTAGTCTACTTTTCAGTACTTGAAGAGAAATATGGATATACCTCCAGACACTCACCTTGGTGTCGACCAAACCAGGCAGTCCAAGCACATGGCCACCCAGATTAGGCTTCAAATACACAATGAGAGGATCCTGAGTGGATATTTTCATATGATATGTCGAAAAAGAAGTGTTTAGAGCGCGCAAATAACATCCTCAAACACCCCTGAAAAGCTTTGAGTCTGAGGAGGCTTAAACTGCGGCGTTGCACAGCCCTGGAGGCTGTGCACTATTCAGAGAGCCCCAGGGCTGCTTAATCAGAAGTACACGAGTGAGAAATAGCTAAACAACAATACAAACATATATAATTAAAGGGGCGGTTTTGGACGGGGCGATATCGGAATGGCATCAACATTTCATCCGAATTGATTTTTCTTTGTTTTTTGATTTTTGGACGGCGTTCTATATCGTAGCCATCTCCTCATCGTCATCGATGAACAGATCGTCAGAATCCTGGCTCAAAATCACCAAATTCTCGCCGTCATCAACCACCTGCCACACATTAAGTACCTGGTATCTGTAGATACAGTCCTGGAACATGGCCTCCGTGAAGCCCTTTCCAAGAGCAGCGTCTCTCAGCAGCTCCATGGAGATAATCCTCTGCTTGTTACCAGAAGTTTCACGGTCAATCACGTCCTTGATCATGTTGAAGATCTTCGCCTGGGGCGATCTGTCCTCGTCATCACCAGATCTCGTTTGTGAGAGCGACATCTTGGCCACGTCCATCAGTCTCAGTGCTTCGTCGACATCAGTCAGCTCAACCAAGTTAGAGAATCTAATCCTAGCAAGCGCCTGGGAAAGACGCAAAACAGCAAGCAGAGTACGAGGAGTCGTGTGCGCAAAATGTTTGTTGGAATGCTCTTGGATCTTGGACTCCTTCCTCAACTTGATGTAGTTCTGCACGACGTAATCTGAAACTGCAGAGGTCACAACTGGCCTGAACCGTCTGGCCATAGAGATGTACTGTCTCAAAGTGGAGAAGTCCAAAGGCTCGTGAGCCATAACAGGATGTTTATTGTGCATGTGCACAAATGTCACATGCTCGGCAAGCCTTTCATCTTCTTCCCTAGTTGGCTTATCGAGGATGAGGAATAGAACGTCAAATCTGGAAAGCAATGCAGCTGGAAGGTTGATATTTTCGTTGGGGGAAAGTCTTGGATTGTATCTGCCAAAAAGAGGATTGGCTGCTGCAACAATACTGGTTCTTGCATTCAAGGTGGTGGTGATACCAGCCTTGGAGATGGAGATGGTCTGTTGTTCCATCACTTCGTGGATGGCAGTTCTGTCTGCATCGTCCATTTTGTCGAACTCATCGATACAGCAGATACCATTATCGGCCAAAACAAGCGCTCCTCCTTCCAACACCATTTCGTCAGTGATAGGGTCTCTCATGACAGCAGCAGTGAGACCTACTCCGGAAGAACCCTTACCTGTGGTGTATACAGCACGAGGAGCAATTTTCGTAATACCCTTCAAGAGCTGCGACTTGGCAACACCAGGGTCTCCCATAAGTAGAATGTTGATGTCACCTCTGATACGCATACCATCACCAATCTCCTTGGTAACTCCTCCTACGAGCATCAGCAGAAGTGCCTTTTTGATATCGAGTTGCCCGAAAATTTCAGGTGCAATTGACGATGCCAGTCTCTCGTAGACATCACCTTCAGCTCTCAGTTCTTCAATACGGGCTTCAACTTCGCTTGTGAGTCCCAAAGTCTCGTATTTGCGCTTATGTTGCTTGACATACTGTGCCTCCAGATATGTTTCAGTGAGAAGACCTGCTCTCAAAGCTCTGAATCCGGTGTATGGAGCAGGCAAAAATATTCCCGCAACATCAACCACATCACCAGGGTTCATAGATCTTACCAGATCGCCATTGACGTGTATAGTGAGAGTTCTGGGGATGTGGCCTACAGGAACTTGGTTGGACAGTTCCTGGATCTTCACCTCTTGGAAAGCAGAAAACTTGGAAGCTCTCGTGGACATGAAAAGCTTACCTTTCTTAGCGTTGGTCTTACAACGCTCTGAAACACACTCCTGGAGGGGAGTGAATGTTTTCGAGGTGACCTCTTGGAAAATTTCGTATCCACAGGTGTCACAGGTGTAGGCGTTCACCACCACATTAGGCTTGACATCCGATATTCTAGTGACAATTCCACGAACAGTGATAAGTTGACCGACGTAGGAGCCCTTGACCTCTCTGACAGCCAGTGCTTTTCCTTTTCCCTTGTAGATATCGGTTGGAGGTCTGAAGTAGAGACAGTATCTTCTGGTCAACTTGGCAGGGAATAGCTCTGCACCACCTTGGGCATTGGGGTCCTGGCTAGACTCATCAAAACCAGCGTTGACCATTTCCTCTCTGTTCTCGCTTTCAATACGCAGATTTCTGAGTCTCCTCTGGTGCAAGATGACATCCAAAACATCGTCTCTGTAAGATATATCAACGGTGGGTTCAGGCAAGATCTCGTCAATCACCTCCGAAAACAGGTCCACAAAATGAAACGTATTCTGGGTAATTCTCGTGACCAAACCACCCACATTGGCGAAATCAGATTGAGTAAAACCCTCGGTTTCCTGGTAGGTCACGATATCGTCCAGATCGATATACACTGTTGAGATCTCACGATTGGCAACTTTTTGAAGCAAGGCCATATACTTCGGACCTTTCCCCAGCTCCTCCCGGTCCAAGACAATATCGTCAACTGTGTGGTCGTAGATGTTATCTTCCTGCGGCGCATTGGTGGACGTTTTGTAGTGAAGCAGGAAGTCCTTGATTCCCTCCTTGATGCTCTTGTAGTTGATGTTCAGATGGATCGTTGGCAAAATCGCCGCTTCACCTGCCAGAGGCGCAAACGCAGTTGCCATGGTTGAAAATTGGTAGTTGGATGTATTGCTGGAATTTCAAAGGAAAGACTCAAGAAGAAAGATGTTAGAGAGGATCAAAGGAGGAGTTTGAGAGGACGTGTTGATTTTTTTGGTAGTGCGTGAAAATATTTCCTAATCGGGTATAATTGCGGTTTTCCAAAAAACGCGTGAGCGCAAAGGGGTTTAAGTGGTTAGTGTGGCGCCCAAAAACTAGCAAATTAAACAAGAGTTCGACAAATATACAGAAATAATCATGATTGTACAAATATGTATCACCTGTGAGGTTACCTCAACACAAAACAAACCGCGTATTTCTCACCGAAAAAAAGGGACACCTCCTTGCCGTTGATCTTCATTTGGACTGCGTCCATCTCTTCCTCAGGGTGAGGCCGCTCATTTTCCACAAGCCTACTTGCAGAATCAACGACAGACTTGCTGGCAGAAATTATTCTTATGCAGTTATCTCTGAGCTTCTCTCCATCGTCCAAAGGAATTGGAGTCATTCTCACCGGGGCGTTCTCATCAGCCTCTTCGTTCAACCAACCGAACAGAATCCTTCCCTCGAGCGTAAAACATAGTGTAACGCTGTATAGTGCAGCCAATGAGTCTGAAGTAATCTCTGGTTTGCCTGTAAAAGATGTCAGCAGTTCCATCAGAGGGTCGGCAGCCGCAGGCACCGCGACGTACTTCTGCGCTTCCATCATATATGTGTTTCAGAACCGAGTAACAAGCTTATACAGCCATATATTTAGTGGATACATCAGCAGGAACCACCAAAAGAGACATTAATGGAAGAAGAGACGGAATCGCTCGACAGAAGCTACGCGAGTTGATAAGATTCGATAGTTTTGTGTACTAACCGTTTGAGCGCCGCACATACATACCACCAGCTACAAATAACTGCCATGAAAGCAAATCATTCCTATATACATATAACACTAAACTTTCTTTTCCCGGCTGGCCGCTATCACCTTCTCCATGACGACCAGAGCTTCGGCCTTCAACTGTTCTTGGCCAGTATTCAACACCGAAATATCGGCAAAGTCTCCATTTCTGGCCTCTTCCACCAACGCACGCATTTCCTTCACTTTAGAGAGAAGATTGGTCAATGACGCTTCATCGATCAACTTCTTGAACTGTTCAATTGCCTGTTCTGTGTCAAAACAGATCAACTCCAAGTTGTTCGCTGCTGTCAGCACTTCCTTGCGAATCTTATCTTGCTCACTCAGATTCTTTGACTCCTCCACCATACGGGCAACCTCTTCTTCAGTGAGTCCTGTAGCTCCCTGAACAGTTATAGAGGACTCCTTTCCCGAATCGTCTGTAGCACTCACCTTGATGATTCCGTCAGCATCGATATCGAATGAAACCTTGATCTTAGGAATGCCTTTGGCCTCGGGTGGAATGCCCGTCAGCTTGAAATTTCCAATAAGCTTGTTATCCTGGACCAATGGGCGCTCTCCCTGATAAACATTGATATCTATCGCGTTCTGTCCATCAACAGCGGTGGAGTACAACTGTTGGATTTTGCAGGGAACAGTAGTGTTTCTGGGGATCAAAGGAGAGAAAATTCCACCATAGGTCTCAATTCCAAGAGTCAGAGGTGTGACATCAAGAAGCAACACATCCTTGACTTCCCCGGAAAGTACAGCGCCTTGGATAGCAGCTCCGAGTGCAACTGCTTCGTCCGGATTCACCGCAACACTAGGAGCCTTCTTGAAGAAATCCTGAACTGTTTTCCGTATTTTTGGCATTCTGGTCATTCCTCCAACCAGAATGACCTCGTCGATATCAGTAACTTCCAAATCCGCATCTTTGATCGCCTTCTTCAGAGGTGTGATCGTTCTCTGGATCAGGTGCAGTGACATATCGTCCAATTGATCTTCAGTTAGTTCCAGTGAGATGTTGTCGGAATCAGTTATGAAAGGCAGCTCTATTCTCGTCGTCTTCACATGCGACAACTCGATCTTTGCCTTTTCTGCTGCCTGTCTGATTCGCTGAATGGCAAGTCTATCCTTGCGCAGGTCTTTACCAGTACCAACCTCAAAACTATCCAGGATATAGTTTACCAGAATATGGTCAAAATCTTCACCACCAAGATGCGTGTCTCCGTTAGTAGATCTCACCTCAAAAACGCCATCTTCAATATCCAGTATCGAAATATCAAAGGTACCTCCTCCAAGATCGTATACAGCAACGATACCATCCTTCTGTTTGTCCAGCCCATACGCTAACGATGCAGCAGTTGGCTCATTGACCACACGAAGAACTTTGAGCCCAGCAATATCACCAGCTACTTTTGTCGCCTGTCTCTGAGCATCGTTAAAGTAAGCAGGCACAGTCACGACGGCATTGCGCACATCGGCTCCCAGTCCACCTTCTGCTATGCGCTTCATTTCTGCCAAAACGTAACCTCCAATCTGGGAGGGTGAATATTTCATTCCGTAAGTGGTTTCCAGCCATGCATCTCCGTTTTCGTGTTCCGATATCCTGTAGGGCGAAACTTTCACGTCCCGTCGGACTTCTTCGTCAGAAAACTTCCTTCCCATCAATCTTTTGGTGGCGTAAAATGTGTTCTCGTGATTCAAAATCGATTGCCTTTTGGCTGCTTCACCAACAAGAACGCCACCTTCTTTGGTGAACGCCACCGTCGAAGGCGTAGTCCTTCTTCCCTCCGAGTCTTCGAGAATCTTGGGCGTTTGACCTTCCATCACAGCTACGGCAGAATTTGTAGTGCCAAGGTCAATTCCAATTACTTGCCTTGTGGTAGACGCATTCCTAAAAGCAGAAGTGGCCCTCCGGCCTTGAGACCTCCAGACTGATCGCAACATGGTGTTCTGTTGCAGGAATGCAAGCAAGTTTGGACGGCTCGGCGGCGATATGTGCGGGGAGGTAGTGCGAGAGAGAAAGATTCACGTGACTGAAAATACCCTGGTCTTCACTCGAAGGATGTAGACCCAGTGTAATGGGAATAATTAGGGTATAAAGGTAGGTGAATTTATAAGATCAAACATGCACCATTTGCTGGTGATGAATACAATTTCCAGTTGCAGATAGTCTTTTTGACGGGAAAGAAGACTGGAGTAAGAGAGGGTATTCAGGGCACATAACTAAATTCATAGACCAAGGTATAATGCTGGGCGGTAATTATGTGGAACTAAGACGGTGATGCTTAATAAAAACCCGAACTTTTTCATGATTTTGTGGGAGAAACTATATATGAACAAATACACTCACCAGATTTATCAAAAGGAAGGAGCAGTAGCTGGTGTCGGTGTAAGATGGTCAACACCTTGCTGAGCCGCACGAAGCTTCCTGCAGAATATATCAGTCTAACCTCTTCGCGAAAGATCTGGCATTTATCAAGTATTTGAGCTCCCTTCATGGTCTATTCACAAGGCAGACAACCTATCATCAAGACTTACCACAGAGATACTTGAAATAGGATTTGAAAACGATCAGACCAGACATCATCTTCTAAGCTGCCTCTAAACTTCACACACATCAGCCTTACTCCTATTTCACAACCAACCTTACTCCCATTAGGGCACACTTTCCGTGAAGAAGATCACCTGAGCACACAACGAACGGGTGGGTCGGGCTGAACTTGGCCTGGGGAATGGTATTTCCGCCCACACACTGCGAAATCTGGTGAACCTCTCTCAAACCATCAAGAATGAAGATTCGACCTGGTGAGTCGTATTCGTAGGTCACCGCCATATACTTCCCGTCTGGAGAAAATTCGATTGACCCTATTGGCTCATCAACTCCCGTAATCGTTCCAACACTGATCAAGTGCTGGGTGTCCCAAAGTGAAACCGTTCCCTCGTTTGTGCCAATAGCAACGTACCTTCCGCGTGGATCGCACCTCACGCTTGTCGCTGCAGACTGGTGGCCCTTTAAAGTATGCACCAATTCGATACCGTTATAACCCGGGTCAAATCGGTACAACCGCACATCACCAGTACTTAGTGCAGCAAGGAACGCGCCGGGTCCAGCCCAGGCGAGATCGTACACGTGCTCTTTGGCGTGGTCAATTCGGTGGAGCAATTCGAAACCATTGGTTGCATCAAGAATGGAGACATTTCCGGCTCTATTGACGACAGCTAAAAACGAGCCACACGGCGAGAAAACAACAAGATTGTTCTCATCTTTAGAGTTCAATCTGATACTATGCAGAAGGTTGTGACCGTTATTACTGAGTTCCCATACTTTGACTATGGAGCCACGGGCAACAGTGGCCAGTCGTAATTCATTTGTGGGATCCCATGATATCGATTCAACAGGAGCATCATGGCAATTGGCTAGTGTTGCAACTGGTGAGCACGTAAAGTTTGAAAGTCTCCAGATCTTCAGACTTTTATCTGTTTTGGCGTAAGCCAGTCTTGTTCCTTTTGTATTCCACTGAATTGTGATCACCCGCGTATCCTTTCCCAGTGACGCATCGGGCAATTCAAAGGCTTTCCAGTCCTTAAAAGAGTCTTCCGGGATCGATCTGGTGGCCATTGATACAAAAATTAGAACAATTTGCCATAGAACTGGAGGATTTTAGAGGAGTACAAGACGGTCTATAGATGAATCGATGGGTAGATGGGCCATTTTTGTCATGCCCACTACTCGTCGATTTTGAGCGCGGCGAGCGAGCCGGGTGTTTTTTTACAATTAGCTCGCACACGACGTAATTTCTGTCAGATTTCAAGAAAGCGTGCTAAAATGGAGTAAGAAAAGGCCAAAAAAGGTAAAAAAATGGTCCTGTTATTACGATATATTTGGCAGCATTCTTTGACATGCTCTCTCGTCCCCATCAATTTGGCGAACACGAGCTTTTCTGGCAAACGAGCGGCTCATCTACCCATCCAGGCCATCCCTAAATGGGTACAAATATTGTCGTGCATTTTTCAAATAGAGATTGATTCGCACACGACTCAGCGATATCGCCCGTGCCAGATCATTCAACGATAACAGTTCCCCAATCAGTTATCCCTTTCCAAACACTTTTGTTACTTCACAAGCACAGATCAACTGTCAATTTTCAACAATGGTGAGTTTTCACAGTATATGCCACTCATTCTTACCGGATGCGGGACTAACACCACCAAGGCCGTCCAAACCCCAAAGCAGCGAGCTGCCAACGACAAGTTCTACAAGGCTCAAGAGAGAAAAATGGGCAAACCCAAGAAGGTTGCCAACAAGAGTTCTGCTCCAGTATCAAGGACATGGGTCTGTAAGTATTACGTTTATTAAGCTCGATTATCTTCTACTGACACTGTTAAAAGGGGTGCTTGTGTTTTTGCTGATTGGTGGTGGTGTTCTAGAGCTACTAAGGTTGTTCTTTTGAAGCAATTAACCACGCCAAGCACTGGCTAAAAGGCCAGATACTATTCTGAACTGAAAGACTAGATCTGTTGGAACGACGACGGGAATTCAAACTGGTCCCGAGTACCACTCGCCACATGCCCAACCATTGTCCCATGGAAAACCCATTTGTATCCAATATGTATCGAATTTGCACATAATTTGTGCCAATTTTGCACCAATTCCGAGCCGATTTTCTTTATTGCCCTTTCATAAAACCGAAACATCTGTAGAGCCCCAGACCTTGCGTGTCACTTTTGTCGTGCAAAGCTCACGTGCCCTAACCGTAGTTTCCCACCCAATCCTCCAGCCAACCACATCGAGCAGAAATTCAATCCTCAGAAAGCTTTAGACATCACCAACCATAAGTCTCTACCAAATTACCCCCATTGTTTTCCAGATTCAACAATGATCTTCGTGGTTCCAAGGCATGTGCAGCCTTCTGCGTTCCAGTCATCTGTCCGCTTCATTGGGAGGTTCCCATTGAAGAGTGATATCAACATCACCGCAGCCGGCAAGACCAAGATCGCGGTTGGCCAAGGCGGCCGTTCGTCAAGAACCGGATACACCGCTACGGTTTTCGGCTCGACTGGGTTCCTTGGACGGTTGCTCGTGTCTAAGCTCGCCAAACATGGCACCATAACGGTCAGTCCTTACAGAAACGAGACAGCTAAGAAGCAGCTGAAGGTCAACGGTGACTTGGGAGTGGTCAACTTTGTGGAGCTCGACCTCAGAAACCTGGAATCTATTAGAAACAGTGTGGCTCATTCTGATATCGTTTTTAATTTGATTGGTACCGAACAGAGTACCAAGAACTTTTCCATCGAAGACGTGAACATTGAAGGAGCTCGTCGTATTGCGCAGATTTCCAAGGAAGCAGGAGTTGCCAGATTTATCCATGTTTCCTCCTATAATGCCGACCCAGCATCTTCATCTGATTTCTACGCCTCAAAGGGTGTGGGTGAGCAAGTGGTCAGAGAAATCTACCCAGATGCAACCATCGTGAGACCTTCCCCTATGTATGCCAGAAACTCGCCTTTCCTCAACCAGCTACTTGCCAGGAGGACTTTTGGTGATAACATTCTGTTCAAAAACCAGGTTTTCCCAACCCATGGCATCCAGGTTGCCGCTGCGCTCGAGAAGATCGGATTCGACGACTCCACCAGAGGCCAGACCTATGAGCTCCATGGAACCGAGGAATACTCCAAGAGAGAAATTCGTGAGATGATCAAGGAAGCAACTCATCTCGGCCAGAATGCATGGGTTCCTGCTGCTGTTGGTTTCTACCTGCCAGCTCCCGAAATTGTCGTCAAGGCCTTTGCCCTGCTGAGACAGTACATCTCGTCACAGCCAAGAGTTTCGCTCGACTCTGTCAACCGTGTGAACACAAGACAGGTGTTTGATCCTAACGCAAAGACTTTTGCTGACCTTGGAATGGTTCCTGACGAATTCGCAGACCTGTTCTACACATACATCAAGCCACACATCACTGCTAGTTCCCAGGTCAAGAACCGTACCGTTTACGCCAGGGAAGACGTTGAGAGGCTGCGTGATTACGTCAACACTCCAAGTGACAGCTTCAACCTATTTAACTTGAAATGAAAATCTGGATAGAAGATCTGGGATAGACTAAGAAAGATGAAAAAGACTCTGAAAGATACCCCCCACGTAGGCCTGAAATGCTTCAAATCATAGCTTGTTCTGTTAGTTGCCTAACGGCTTTGAATACCTTTTTTCTGAGCCAATTACAGCTTCAACAGATTCTTATTACGATCTAAGTGAAGTTTCAAATTCATTATCAGCAAGTAGTCATCGGTCGTGTCCACACAAATAAAATATTATCACCACCCACCCCCACCTTAAATCAACTTTCACCAAGTCCAACTCTTGTTCTCTCTTGTTCTCTCTTACTTTCTCCACATCCACATGAGTGAACCACAAACAACGGCAAAAATACGGCTGCATTCATCCAAGGGCACGATTGACGTGGAGCTTTGGGCCAGAGAGATACCCAAGACGTCACGATGGGTGATTCAAGCCGCAGCTGCCAATGGCTTCAAAGATACCGAGTTTTGGGGCGCGTCTGAAGAGACTGTTCAGTTTGCCGAACAGTTGAGACCAGCGCAGTCAAAACCTGAGATACACAGCAGATTAAGGTTCAATAGAAGGGGACTAGTTGGTGTGCGACATGGTGCTGATGGCGGATTATTCATGACCCTTGGACCGGCACCGGCTTTGACTGGGAAAGCCACTGTGCTTGGCCGAATTGTTGGCGACGGAAACTACGTTGTGGCGGCAATTGGAGCTGCAGATCTTACTAATGGTAGGTTCACGTATCCCACGAAGATCTCAAAATCTGAGGCTCTGGTGGAGTTCTTCGAAGATATCGTGCCGGAGACCAGCAAGGCAGAATCGGACTTGCTAGAGTCACCAATGCCCGTAACCAAGACTACCACTACGAAGAAGCCAAAAGTGGTGGTCAGCTTTGATGATGAGGAAGACGACTCAGATGTTGGTTTGGATATCAGAATGCAATCTGCACACGAGCTGTTGAGTGACAGAGGAATGATTAGCAGCAAGCTGCAGAGCCCATCACCAGGATCTGAAGTGCCTTCGCTAGCAGATTCTGTTGAAACAGCGAATGGGTCCAGCCAATCAGATGTGGAGCCAATGCGGGCTAAACGGACTAGATCGGCGTCAAGTGATTCCGCCCCAGAAAAGAGAAGGAGCAAGACGAAGGAGGAACGTGATTTGGAGACGTTGGAAATGCTGAAAGCTTTTCAGAGTCGAGCGAAATCGCGATGGCTTGATGATGTGGATACGAGTGAGAAGGAGTGAGATAAGCAGCAAAAATTAAAAGTAAAAATGTGAGTAAAGTAACAGAGTAAACGCTCCTATATGCTGGGGAAAACGGTAAATCAACGCACTAGAGATACGAAAAAAAAAACAAAAATCGTTGGCCTGGCTACACGAAGGCGATCTGTAGATGTGAAGGTTGGAACGGCTTGTATACCTTCCAAACTCTCCTACTCAGCATCAACCTCGGCACACCAACCGGGAATGTCCTGCCCCTTTGAACCAACATCGCGGGCAATGTGCTCGTCAACGTTGCAATCCACCAACCATGGGTGGTTGCTCAAACCACCGGCATCATGCCGCCGGCTAGGCTCAATTTGTAGCATCTCGCCAAGGAACTCAGAAATTAAAACGGCAGTCTCCGAAGACATGTGGTACTTTTCGACAAGCACACGGTCGAGCGTCCAGTACTTAAGTTTGCCAATGTTGCGGAATTGGGACAGAGAACGATCGAAAAATCGCCTGGCGTGCTTGCAAGAACGCAGCCAATCCTTCGAGGGCCACTCTTCCAGAAGCTCGATTATCTGTGCGAGATGATCATCGTCCTTTGAGTAAGGTTCACCAGCCTTTGGATCAAATAGAAAGTCGCCGGTCACTAACTCAAAGGCGAGACAGGCGGCTGACCAAATATCGGTCGAACACCCCCATTCGCCACCGAGGATTACCTCGGGAGCACGGTATTGTCGCGTCTGGATATCGTTGGTGTAGTGAAGGTTTGTCCAGCAGGAGTTACCAAGATCGGCGATTTTGACTGAGATCACGCCCTCAAACTCCCCCATCGATATTACGGAGCCATTCTCGCTGGCAGCAGCTGCGGTAACAGGGGCATGAGAAGACGCTGCAGTAGTAGTGTCGAGGTTCAACACTGAGAACCTGCGAACAGGAGGAGCCACACTGGAAGCTTCGGATCTCGCATCCACAAACTCGTCTTCTTGCTCTTCAGGAATCACGTTTTTTCCATCCATGACTAGTTGCGGTGACCGCGGAACACACGTAGGTGGTACGCTTCTCGGGCTGAGACCAAGCTTTTCAGGCTTTGCTGCTGTAGACATCGAATAAGCAGGGTCGACAACACCACCTTGGATCGTAGAAACACCTGCCATTCCTGCTATACTTGCAGATGAGGAATTGGTCGAAAACGAGAAAGACCTGAAGAAGGAGTCGATTCCAGATTGTGATGGCACCGGAGAAGTCAGTGGCTTGGAGCACCGCACCGGCGAACAAGGAACGCGAACCGTGTGAGATCTTGAGCGCTGAAACACCGGCGGTGGCGGTTGAGGGATAGAGGGGCCAGAAGCATTTCTTACCAATGGCGAGGGTACAGATGCATGGACAGCGTTGGCAGCGCGGACTGGGGTCCTGACAGAAGAGTAAACACTTTCCGATATCGAAGCATCGGAGTTGCGGGAGGTGAGACGGCGTTGCGCCAACTTGTCCTTTCTCTCGCGTTCGAGAATTTTCATCAGCTTTTCAACGTCATGGATCTCAACAAGAACGTTCTCCGGTTTGAGATCTGTGTGTACAAGACCGCACTCGCGGTGCATATAGTCGAGTGCAAGAAGCAGCTGTTTGGTGATCTGCTTCACGAGCGTGAGTGGGAGGCCACCAAAAGATTCTTTCAGTAAGAGCAAGTCTCTGGTCGAGTCCAGAGACGAGACGGAACGAGACGAAGATTTGAGTTCAGCAGTGCGTTCTTTCGAGAAGGCCTTATAGCGTAGTAGCAAACTAAGCATGTTCTCACCTAAGACCTCGAAAACCATACAAACGTGGTCACCATTAGGGCCCGTGTGAATGAAGCTGTCGAGCAGCTGAACAACATGGTTTTTACCAGGATGAGAATCAGGCCCGTCACGAACCTTTTCGAGAATGCGGATCTCGTCTATGGCAGCCTCATGATAGTTCTTTGAAGAGCGAACAATCTTTATCGCAACATGGCGCGAATGAACGGAGTCGAAAGCCAGCCACACTGTAGAGAAGTGACCCCAACCGAGTTTGCGCACGATTATGTAACGTTTGTCAGGGCCATAGCGCTCGTTGATGTATGTGGGATGGTATCCACCTTCGCAGTAGTCTTTGGCATCCTCCTCACGCTTGAGTTTCTCTTCATCCTCAGAATCGGAATCGGAGAATGAATCGTCATCGCCGTAGGTGGTGTCGGTGTCGTCGGCAAGTTCCGTTACATCCACGGTAGGAGCTGATGAGACTGTGACAGAGCCGTCCGCAGATGGCGGCGAGATCCGCAGCACGGGCCGGTCAGTGGTCTTTTGCTTGGAGATGGACAGTGTTTTGCGGAGTGAGGATGTAATGTTGGAAGTGATGCTTTTGATGGATTTGTTGGAATAAAATGCAGGTGCAGAGGAGGTATGACGTTTAAGACTCTGCAGGCGAGGGGGACTTTCTGTGGTGTCAAAGGAATCGTTTGCCGAGTAGAGCATCTGAGCCTGGGCCATTGCGGAAGATCAGTTTAGTGCATGCAAGCAAGGAGGGCAGCAAGAGGTCAAGAAACAAGCCAGGAGAGAGGATTTTTGAACGAAAATTCAACAGACCAGCAACAGGCCAAGAGATCCAGAAGTAAGATCAGCAGATAATGCAAGATTTCAAAAGGCAGGAATCAAATCTGAAAGAGAAGCGGTGCAAGAGAAGTGGTGCAGTAGAACCAGATCAAAACCACTAAAAACAGAAAGGCTTCCGACGACAAAATGAAAAAGCAACAGCAAAGACACTCAAAACGAATCCAGATCTCAGATTTAAAAACAAGACTGGGTCGGGAGACTCAGGAGTCACCGAACTGATGAGTAAGCTGCAAAAAGGCACCCCGGACAAAAAAGCCCAGTTAGAACGAAATAAACAAGACAGAAACGTCAGGTGGACCAGCAGAGCAAAAAGTCAACCACTAAATTAAACAAGTACTGTAGACTCAACAAGCCCTTCAAAATTTGTGCGTCTTGTGTTGGATCAAAAGCTCCCAGGGGTAGTGTTGGTGGGAATGCGGTTAAGATCCCCGATTCAGACTGATGGCAGTGCGGCAAGCAGCAGGCAGAATGGAAAAGCTTTGGGTAAAGTTTTTGTGAGGGAAAGGAAATGCAGGAAGAGTGCGATGGGAAGAAGGAGAGAGGAAAAGACCAAGACAAGGAATTGAAACAAGCGAATATGCAAACTACAACACCCACACAGTTGCATTGGGGTTTCGCCGTTTTTGCCGGATCTTTTGAGGAAAATTAAGAGTTAAAGACTTGAGAAATGGACAAGAAAACGGGTTTAAAAGGGGGCGAATTGGTTAAATTTTTTGGAATTGAGTATATAAACGCTGGAAACCACGCATTATCTAGTTATAATGGCATATTTCGTTCTATTGCGGGTGTCACCTTTGCTTCATGATTCGCTTGTTCTCTTCTCTAGCCCTCCTCGAAAGCCTTCCAAACCATTCCATCGGCGATTTGTGTGGCTGCTTGTCTCCGCTTTGACGGGGTTACCCTACGGCTACGTCATAGTTACGTTTTAGCGGCGCACGACCGTAGACAGAGAGTTTCAGTGAGTGTTTCAAACGATTATTTGTGGAAGGTTCACGTGGGGTTTAACCGTTGATGACACTTGGCGAAGAAGCCAAGGAGTAGATCTGTCGGATTGGACGAGATTGAGGTCATTTTTAATCGAGTTCGCACGCTTGGCGTGGTGATGTAGTTTTCTCTCGGCTTGATTGCCGAAAGGGACGTGAAGACGTCATTTTGGCCGAAATACCAGCAAGCCATGCTGTGTATATGGGTCGACACTTAAGACTACTATTGACGGTCTAGCAATTATTATTGTTATAATTCGTTGTAAACAACGTCTTTACAATTGCAACCGCAATACAATTTACCGCTTTTTAAAGAAAACCATTTTTGAACTAACTAGATATTCATGACCTAACTAAACTCTGCCATGCATTTAACTGTCAAATAACTGTCAAACAGAACTGACACACTTTCTTCACTTCTTTTGGTCACCAAAGACATCAGAAAGCTTCTGAGCCATTCCCTTGTCTTGGTCTGGTTGAGCCTTTCCAGCGCCCTTATCCATGTAGTCAGACATGGCTTCTTTTCCCTGCTCCATGTAGCTCTTCTGGGAGTCTGGCTTGATGGCCTCTGAGGCCTTGTCTCCAAAGTTCTTGCGTCCGGCGTCTGACATTGTAAGATAAAATAACTATTTGATAAAATTGACTTTCTCAAATGAGTTGAAATATCACCTGAGTTTGTGCCATAGATATAGTAACTATCAGGCCTTTTTATACACTTCCAACAGCAATCTACCCGTAGCAACAGCAACCAAGTTCTTTCGAGCTTCCTCGAATTGCACTTGCTTTCGTTCATATGCCACCCTCCTCACCCCACCAAAGGCCCAGGCCTTGCCACTTCAACAATTCATGTTCGGCGCCCAGACATTGAGTTTCCGGAACGTTGTCTGCTGCCAACTTCGTGTGATTACTGCTTTTTGTGGGGCTCATCTGATCGCCCACTATCTCCGCCGGATTCCGCCGGACATTGAATCCTGCGGCTCAATTCGGCTGCTTATCTTTCCTGCCAATCCACTCTATAAATATAGACACAAACCGCTGGGTTCAGTGGTTGTTCTCACTCACTTTCTTATAGTATAACAATTCCTCTCTCGATGACTACCACAATAAAAACGCCACACGTTCACCTCAAGGTGGTGAACGAGAAAAAGACCGACCTCTCGCTCGAGAGCTTGTTTGGCTCGGTCCCACTAACCACCTACTCCAACGACCCCAAGATGGATCCTGTTCCTGTTAATTGGGGATCTGCGGACCCAGCTGTTCGTGGACCAATTATTGCAACTAAAAGGGGAAACGGGTTGTGTTGCCACAACGCAATTGGCGCTCACGCTGGACCTTACTCCATCTACCGCGCGCTAGCAGTGGCTTCCAAGCAGCTCGACCCAGACCACGTCCCCGACTATACCAATGCTGAGCCTCCAGTAAACTTTCCTCAACAGCCACAATGGTCCGATCCGTCCAAAATCGTGGCCATGGACCCCTTTGGACACCTGGCTCCCTGGTTGTTTGCGGACTCGGACGTTGAGGTCCGGCCCACCATCTCCATCACCAAGGCCCACCTGCAATTGGGCGACCTGCGCGACGAAGTGGCCTCGGGAAATTTACCAGTTGACGGTGACGTTGTTATAAACCAAATGGGTGATTTGAACTGCACGAAATTGGCAGTCGACCCGGTATGGTACCTTCCTGGAATTGCCTCGAGATTCGACATCTCTGAAGCCGCACTTAGGAAGAGCCTCTTTGAAGATACCAACGGAATGTATCCAGAGCTGATAACCAGACCTGACATTAAGGTATTCCTTCCTCCTATCGGTGGACTCACCGTTTACATCTTTGGAGACCCCGCCAAGGTTTCCGATCCATCTTCGAAGCTAGCCCTGCGTATTCATGACGAGTGTTCTGGTTCAGACGTCTTTGGCTCAGATATCTGCACATGCAGACCTTACCTGATGTTCGGAATTGTCGAGGCAGCCAAACAGGCCCAACAAGGTGGTTCTGGAGTGGTTGTATATTTCAGAAAGGAGGGCCGTGCTTTGGGAGAGGTTACCAAATATCTCGTCTACAACGCTCGTAAGCGTGGTGGTGATACTGCTGCCGAGTATTTTCACAGAACCGAGTGCATTGCTGGAGTCAAGGACATGCGGTTCCAGGCATTGATGCCTGATATTTTGCACTTTTTGGGAATCAAGAAGATCGATAGAATGCTTTCAATGTCCAACATGAAGTACGATGCCATTGTGGAGCAGGGAATTGAAATCAGGGAACGGGTTCCTATACCAGATTCGATGATCCCACCAGATTCACGTGTGGAGATTGATGCTAAGATTGCTGCTGGTTATTTTACAAACGGTAAAGTGATGACTCAGGAGGAATTGAAGGAAGTGAAGGGCAGATCCTGGTGAGAAACGGTAACGAGAACTTAAGGAGATATAGACATGTATAAAGCGCAATTAGATCGGTATGTGAACTTGCATGTAGGTTAACTCACGGGCCATTTCTCGTGTTTGGACGTGAATAAGAGATTTGAGTGCTGAGGGCAAGAGAACAAGAGTACTCATAAAATGTGTAGCATATAGTGTTGGGTGTTTGAGGTCTTTTCATGTTTGGTCATGTCCTGTGCCCTCTTGGTCAACCCTAGTTAAGCATCCATAGTGATCAACCATCGTTAAGCCTCAATTAACAAATGTCTAAGCCTCCAGACTGCTCCGCCAACCTTCACACGCTCTAAGTTAAGTGAACCCTACTGAAAACCGCATATCCCGATACTCATACCCTCAACATATGTCACATCGTACCTGTGTGAATATATTTCCAGATCTCAATATTCTGAAACCCCTATCAGAATCAAAATTTACCCACACACTACATTGTGTTTTGCACTACCTCCCCTTTGTCGAAGATCCTTGTCTTGATCCTTCATCACAACTCTTCCAAAGGTGATTCTCTTTTTAGCACCAAAGTTTTTGTATTCGGCGTGAACCCCGCTACTTGGACCCAATTGACAAGTCTTTATTGGCTAGATTGCAGGATCGCGACTGGTTTGTTTATTAGAGTTCGCTAAGCCACTGACAGCTCATACGCGGTAAAGTACGTCAATTCAGCTCAAGTTTGACCAGATTACCCCCAATCTTGTGATGGATATAGCAACCGATCCGGTAGAGTTACCGACTGAGCCGAATGGAGAAGGCTCGGATATACGAGAAAGCTTGGAACAGTCGGTTCCGCCTATTGTGGTCACCAAAACAAACGGAGCTGCCAACGGAAGCACCAACGGAAGCACCAATGGAAGCACCAAAACCCGATCAGCCACAAAAGCTGGCCCTCGGATGGGAGGGGCCACCACAAACTTTATCAAGGTATCGCTCGAGTCAATAGCGGCCATCAAAGAGGTTACAAAGAAGCATTCCGAGCTCGTGAAGTCATGCCAAGCTGCTTTGAGCAAGCTGAATGAGCCGGAATTGCCTGATAATGCTACGATATTTGAACCATTGCGATTGGCTTGCGCCACTGATATTGTCGAGGCTAAGATAATTGCACTGGACTGTCTAAGCAAACTGTTCACGTTCAACGTGTTTGACGATCCATCCGAGGTGGTGGTGAGCACGAAGCGACAGGCAAAATATGTGGTCGATGCGGACATGGAGACAGGATCAGCGGCATTAAGCCCTGGAACAGACCGAATTCCTCTAATTGATGCTGCAATTGCCACAATTGCTGACTGCTTCGAGGGCGAGGGCACCGACGAGAAAGTAGAATTGCAGGTGATTCGCGTGCTGATGGCAGCCATACTTAATGAATCTATGCCTGCTCATGGATCCACACTTTTGACCGCTGTCAGACAGATCTACAACATTTTCCTACTGTCTTTGTCACCCATAAACCAAGGAATTGCGCAGGCCACGTTGACCCAGGTCGTGAACATCGTATTTGAGCGTGTGGTAACTGTGAGAGCTGAGAGGAGCGAAATTTCTCGTAATGCAAGTATTGTCGAGGTTGGAGAGTCACAAACCAAGGTTTCTGAGGCCAATTCCGAGGCCACTTCCCAACCCAAGTTGACCCTTTCGAACATGGAAAACATTAACGAACTCAAGCTGGCTGAGATCTCTACCAACGATGCCAGTGAAATCGCCGTCAAAGATGCATTTCTTCTGTTCCGTGCGATGAGTAAACTGTCAGTGAAGCCCATAGACAATGACGCTTTGGATATGAGATCGCACGCGATTCGCTCCAAGTTATTGTCACTTCATATCATTCATCTGATACTCAAAAATCACATCGATTGCTTCATGGACCGCGGTGCAGTCATCTCTTCCAACAACAATGAGACAAGTCTTCTCGATGCCATCCGCCAGTACCTCTGTCTCACTCTGTCAGGCAACGCGGCGTCGGCGCTGGCACCTGTATTTGAGATATCTCTGGAGATTTTCTGGTTTATGATATCCCAGCTAAGATCTGAGTTCAAGCGTGAGATCCCTGTCTTTTGGGACGAGATCTACTTCCCCGTGGCTGAAATGAAGACTTCTACGGCCCACCAGAAGCGCTATTTGCTCTCGATCATCAAGCGACTAAGCGAAACGCCTCGTGCTCTGGTGGAGTTCTTCTTGAACTACGACTGTGATGCAACGATGCCCAACATTTGCGAATCATTAATCGATTACTTGACCAAACTGGCTCTGACTAGGATCGACGTAACTCCAACTCAGAAGATTGGCTATCGTGAGAATCTTACAAGACCACTTGCGACCTACAACCTTTCACAGTTGCCTATGCTCTCTATTGGAAAACTGGGTGGTCATCCACCCGACCCAGATGCAAACCTGAACTTCCCCGTGGAATATGCACTTAAAATGAACTCCATTGAGTGTCTTGTGGGTGTTTTGCGGTCGCTTTCTTTGTGGGCAGACGACGATTCTTTGTTGAAAAGACCGAGATCGCACACAAATGGATCAGTTTCAACGCCATCCTTGCAAGAAGACTCGTTTGTGGCCGAGGAAGACGAGCCTGCGCAATTTGAGACCCAGAAACAGCGCAAAACACAACTTTTGGAGGGCATTCGCGAGTTCAATTTCAAGCCTAAGCGTGGACTCCAGAGACTTGTGGACAAGGGTTTCATTGCATCAAAAGAACCAAAGGATATTGCTCATTTCCTGCTCACTACTGATGGACTAGACAAACAGGTAATTGGAGAATTTCTGGGCGAAGGAGACGAGTTGAACATTGCAACGATGCACGCCTTTATAGACGAGATGGTATTTACCAATACGCCGTTTGTGAGTGCCATGAGAACCTTTTTACAGGCTTTCAGATTGCCTGGAGAAGCTCAGAAAATTGACAGGTTCATGTTGAAATTCGCTGAACGTTACGTGAGCGGGAACCCCACTGTTTTCGCAAATGCCGATACAGCCTATGTGCTCGCTTACTCGGTGATAATGCTGAATACTGACCAGCATTCGGCACAGGTGCGCAAACGTATGACTGTGGATGACTTTATCAAGAACAACAGCGGTATAGATGACGGTCAGAATCTTCCACAGGAATTCCTAGTGCAAATATTCGACGAAATCCAGCATCACGAGATCAAACTACAAAGTGAACAGCATGCCGCGTTGATTTCAGGTGATGTCCAACCCACACAGCAGGGCTTTTTCTTTGGGGGAAGGAATATCAGTCGCGAGATGTACATGCAGGCTTCGCGCGAGATGTCTTCGAAGACCGAGCAATTGGTGAGAACCATTGGTAAACTGTCCAAGGACTCATCCCGGACGGTATACTACGTGGCGACCAACAACGTGGACCATGTGAGGTCGATGTTTGACACGCTGTGGATGTCAATTCTGGCTGGATTGACTCCTCCTTTCAAGGAGTACGACGATGAGGATACCGCGAAACTGTTATTGGAAGGAATTAGGATTTCTGTCCACTTGGCGTGTTTGTTTGAGCTTGATTACGCTCGGGCTTCGTTCATTGGGGCGATTGTGCAGTTTTCTAATCTTTCCAACCCTGAGGAACTCAAGCCCAAGAACCTGAGTGCGATGTATGTGATGCTCGAGGTTGCAGTTTCCGAGGGCCATGCTTTGAAATCGTCCTGGAAAGATGTTTTGGTGTCGATTTCGCAGATGGAAAGGTTGAAACTGCTAGCTACTGGAGTGGATTCCGGAGTTGTTCCCGATGTGGCCAATGCACGCGTAGCAAACAGAGATTCAGTGGACAGTTCGAGATCGTCTCAGCAAAATGGTTTCTTTGCCGCTCTTGCAAGTATCGGTACAAAGAAATCCACATTAGCTGAGCAGGCGTACCACCACCACCAGAACCAGAAGTTGAATCCAGAGATCCTGTCCATGATTGTGTCCACCAACTTGGACGTGGCAATGGATAAGGTTTTTACACATAGTTCCGACATAGTTGGTGATGGAATCACTGATTTTGTCCAGGCTCTGACGGATGTGGCATGGGAAGAGATCGAATCTTCGGGACAGAGCGAACATCCGAGAATGTTCTCGCTCCAGAAGATGGTGGACGTTTGCTACTACAACATGGGACGTATTCGTGTTCAATGGTCTGCAATCTGGGCTGTTATGGGTGAAAAGTTCAACAGGTTTGGATGTCATTCGAACATTCGCGTTGCCTTCTTTGCTTTAGACTCACTAAGACAGCTTTCGCAACGGTTCTTCGAGCTGGACGAATTGTCGCATTTCAAGTTTCAAAAGGAGTTCTTGAAGCCCTTTGAATACATAATTGCCAACAACCAGGAGATTTCTGTGAAGGATATGGTACTCGACTGTGTCCAGTATTTGGTTCAAAAGAGAGGCGACCAAGTGAGGTCAGGATGGGTCACCGTTTTTGATATTCTAACAGATGATGCCAAGCTCACTGACGAAGGTCTTGTGACCAAGGGATTTGGATTCGCGAGTGACATCACCAATCACCATTTTGACTCTGTTTTCAACCAGGGTGCTTTTACAAATTTAGTGGTATGTTTGACCGAGTTTGCGAAGAACCAGCGGTTCCAGAAGACCTCGTTGCAGGCACTTCAGGAGCTGAAGAGGCTGGTGAAAAAAGTGGTAGGGTTAACTTTGCCTGGGAAGACTGCCGTGTCAGACGAAAAAAGAACCTCAAACGACGGGGATGATAAGAATGGCGTGATCTTCGTCACCGAAGACTTCCTTGACAAAATGTGGTTCCCAGTTCTATTTAGTTTCCACGACGTCATCATGACTGGAGACGACCTGGAGGTTCGTTCTAGAGCACTGAATTTCATGTTTGACACCTTAGTCCAATATGGAGGCCATTTCCAGCCTGAATTTTGGGACAAAATATGCAATTTGCTCCTCTTTCCTATCTTTGGGGTCCTTTCCACTCACTGGGAGATTAACCAATTCGACAGTCAAGATGACATGTCGGTTTGGTTATCGACCACCCTGATCCAGGCTTTGAGAAATATGATAGCTCTCTTTGCTCATTACTTCGACACTTTGAATCGGATGATTGATGGGTATTTGAAGCTACTGGTTTCATGTATTTGCCAGGAAAACGACACCATTGCCCGGATTGGCAGATCGTGCTTACAACAATTGATCACTCAAAACATGGGAAAGTTCACTCAGGACCATTGGGATAAGATCAACGGGTCTTTTGATGAGTTGTTTGAGCACACGACTGCAAAAGAGTTGTTCAAGGCTGACCCATTGAATAATGGAACAGTTCCGGCACTGGCTGTTGAGGCAGGTTCCGAAAATGTTGAAGCGTCAGCTTCCGAGGCTGAGAACGGGCTTGATTTCAGTGCCGAGGAGATGAATGTATCATCACCAGCATACAACTCGCAAAAGCAATCTGCCCAGGAAGAAGAACGTCTTCAGAAGACCAAGGAGAAGTCTACGATTGTCGTGAAGTGTGTGTTACAGTTACTTATGATCGAGACTTTGGCAGAACTCTTTGAGGACGGCGAGCTCTACGAGACAATCCCAGTGGACAACCTGATCAGATTGGCCGGATTGTTGGAAAGAAGCTACCGGTTTGCGCGCGAATTCAATGATGACTACAACTTGCGTGTTCGCCTATGGAATGCCGGCATCATCGAGAGGTTGCCCAACTTGCTGAAGCAGGAGACGAGTTCTTCGGCTGTCTACATCGCGATCATGCTCAGACTCTACACAGACCCGGAGAAAACTGGTCCAAAGCAGAAGGAACATATTGCGGCCACGCTGCTCCCAATGTGCTCTGGAATCATCGAGAGATACGTTGCTTTGGAGGATGTCACCCAGTTGAGAAACATTAACAGCTGGAGGCCAGTCGTCGTGGAGATTTTGCAGGGTTATGTTGAACTTGACGAACAAGATTTCCTCAAGAACGCACCCACTATGTATGACCTAGTGATGCAGATGTTTGACAAGAGTCTTCCAGCCGAGTTGAGGACTGCCATGAGGCTGTTTTTGGTTCGTGTTGGTGACGTTTACTTGAGTGGTCAGGAGTCCAAGAAAGAAGAAAGTTAGAGAGGTCGGCTTTGAAGATGTGAGCCTCTCTCTACAAAACCTCCAAATATGATTCTGTCTTCGCCATAATGCCTACCAAATATGTACGAAGCTCGAACTCACCACCCAATGCTGACGAAAAATGAGCAATCTGTGGTAGCCACATGTTCCACAATGTCTGTTCTGTACTATTGACTGTCTACACCCCTTTTTTACCATCTTTCAACCCCCTTATATATCATTAGTTCTATATTAGAACCGCAAAAGTTCACCAACTCCTAATGCTGTAGCCGTGCTTGAATTTACACATCTATAGGCCCCACCGTGACCATATATACATTATAGTGCGCCTCCCAATTCGCCGGCTTCGTGAAAAAATCGAATTTGGACGTTGAACTGAGAGTGTCAGTTATCGTTCTGGAGCACATCTTTAAAACACTCAAATATGAACAACAAGGTAAGTGAATTGCACATTTAGATTGGTTTATTCAGCTTTCCGTATTATGGACAAAAAAACGGCTTGTTCGGTTCAAAGAAGTGCTGGCGCAGGGATCTAAGCTTGAGCGTCTCCCCACTTGGTTGAATGGAGCTGAAAATTGGGGCCTTTTTTGGTCAATCTCTGTCACAAAGAGTGAAATTTTTGAACCAGGAGAATCACAAACGTACAATCATACTTTTGTATCGATATCAACCCCGTCTAGGTTGAGTTGTGGCAAAATATCACTACAGGGTGTCCATATTATGGTATGAATGTGACTTTTGCTCTATTTTGTTCCATTTTGCTCAAGCTTGCCAGGTAATTTCTCTGAATTGGTCGTTTTTGCATGAATTCCAATTAAAATCTCAAGTTGCACATACTAACCTTTTTTAGAACCTTTTTGTCCTACTCGGCAACGACGAGGAGGGCCCCGAACTCTTGGCCACCAAGGAAGTGGTCAAGAAGTCCACCTCCTCGAAGAAGGCAGACGTTCCTCCTCCATCTGCTGATAAGTCCCGTGCCAAAAAGAAGGCCCCATTGAAGGGTAACGAAGGCGCTATCAAGGTCAAGAACGAGAACGACAAAGTTAGTGCGCCTGCCTCTACCGAACGCCGCACCCAGAAGTCCAAGCTCACTCGCCAACAGACCGGCAAAACCGACTCCGCCAGAAAGGAGAAGGCTGGATGGGGTGATGACGCTGATGAACTTGACGACGAGCTTGCCGGCGAAAAGATCGCTGAGGAAGATGCTGAGGAGGCCGAGGAAGAGGCCGTTCCAGCCAAGTCTCTTGAGGAGTACCTTGCTGAAGTGAAGCTCGCGCAGGAATCGCTTGGAGGTACCACCAGAGCTGTTCGCCAAGTCGAGACTGATGCTGAAAAGACCGAGATCAAGGCACAAGAGGAGTTTGCTCCAGCCACCGCTTCCAAGAAGCAAAGAGAGAAGGCCAGAAAGGTCAAGAACATTGTTGAATTTGATGCTGTTTTTGCCGATGAGGTTCCACCTCCAAGATCGGGAGCCACCAGAGGAAGAGGCGGTGCCAGAGGCTCGTCCAGAGGTGGTGCTCCTAGAGCTGAGTCCACTAGACCTCCAAGAGAGTCTAGACCTCCAAGAGGTGACTCCACCAAGGGTGCCAGAGGCGGTGCCAGAGGAAGAGGTGCTGCCAGAGCCCCAAGAGGTGAGTCCAGAGAGACTAGAGCTCCTGCCCAAAAGCTCAACGAGGCTGCCTTTCCAGCTTTGTAGGTGAGGACGTGACAGACGAGCGAATGAGCTTGTATGAATGCCTTCGGGAATAAAAAAATAGCTCTTTGATATGACTTGTAGACGTTGCAGCATAGCTGTAGGAGATGTACTTGCGGTTTCTCATCAGCCATGACGTTGGAAGCCAATTTTTCTTTCTAAATTTGACGATTATTTTGCAGTAATGCATAACCATTGAGGTGTTCTGAGATTCAAGTTTTTATCAAATTTATTATAGTGGTTTGAGGCGAATTATGGTTATTTTTTGCTGCAGCTTTAAACACGCGTGAAGCTCGAGCCGCATGCATCGAACACCGGGGATTTATTGAGAATCATTTCAGATACACAAAGATGTACCTCTGAGCTTAGACAAATTTCAAACTATATCAAGACCGATGTGGAGTTACTAAACAAAGCCTTGTCAAATATTGTAATTCCAGTATAACCCCACAAACTGCTAAAATTATCACACTCCCCGGCCACCCCGGAAGAATAGCGCATATCCGTCGCATGAATATCGACAAATGATTTGACAAGCTGAAGGTTTGCGTTTGAGTGTGTGGAAATTGACAAGTTGGAATCGCAGCTGACTACGAGATAGTTTAAGGCAATTAAGCAGTAAGGCAAAGGCTAATATTTTTGTCCCAAACCTCGAGACATGTCAAACCACCCCGGATTCGCTTGGCACGTATGCTACGGGCATCAAGTCAATATCAATGCTGGAAACCCCATCACAGGGCCCACCGGGTCATTCCGGGATAAGCGTTTTGAAATGTTTCCGGGTATTTTTAGAAGTTTCTGGAAGTGCGGTCATGGAGAGTGACTACCGGTGAAAGTTGCGTTGCCCCAGAACGTCACGCCTCTTCTAGACGGATTGGGTTAAGTACGACTGATTACGTCAGGCTTCCGAGAGTAGAAATGCTATTGTTGGATATCCGGTTGATGGGAGGATCAGCATATGATTGTGACTCCAGAGGTTGGGGACCGGTTGTAAAATTTCCATTTGTCTTGTAGTAAGACAACAAGCCGGATTTTAATACAGTGTCTTCAAGAATAGCGTGGTTTCAGTTTACAGAAAAACAACTCCACTGGAGAATGAGAAACAGAAGGTTTCATGTTTCGTTAAAATTGTTCGGAAAATAGTATCCGGACATGAGTCAACGCTATCGAGGATTGTCAGTTGAGACGGTAACGGGGGGACTCTGGCGTGGCCACCATTGGACCCAACAGATGATTTAACTTTTGCTACTCAGGTTGAGGAGAAACATATGAAGATCATGGTTTTTGAAAACCACCATTCATCAACTTCCCAAAAATATTGCTCTTCCTATATTGCCATCATAGCTAACGTTGATCCACACGTTCCACACTTTTTTCGGAGTAGTTCTGTCTCTTGGTGGAGGCTCCTATCGCGGTCGGATATAACCGACCTCAACCATTTCCGACATCCGTTTCCAGCCCCTCTACACATGGGGACACACTGAGGCACCGGAGAAGCTTAGTCGTCATCTGTGTTGTAGGTCTTGTTTGAAGTGTTGTGGTTTTTTCTTTCTTCTTTGTTTTTCTTCTTCAAAGCAAGAGAAATACGTTGAAACTTCACTCTGCTAAGCCAAACAAAGTATCAAAGACATTCTCGATCACGTGGCTACTATCTCCACGTATTTTGGCGTCTTTGAAGTTTTAAGCGCGTCATCCACACTTGATATTCTGTTTGGAAAAGGACAAACATACTGAAAAAGACGAAATAACATCGAAGAACATCGAAGAATACTACACTTTGGTGATTGCATATCATTTTTTTTCCTTTTGGATTCTTCAATTTACGGCTGGTTGATAATTGCAAGTCGATTACTACTAGTTGACAATCGCGGTTGACAAATTGACAAAACCATCACAACCAATCAGAACCTTACTCTTCAACTACAATTTCAGAGAGCTTACAGTTCCATTTCCAATCATCTGAGTGAATTGGCAAAATTGATTGAAGCTCCTAGTTTTGTTGAAATTGAGATTTGGTGATCTGAAGTTGGCAATTTAGCGAGTTGACAGATTTGTCACCACTCACAATTCCACCAATATTTCTCAAAACAAGCAGCTGAAACGGGAAGTTTGAGAATTTGACTAGTTCAACAATTTTTCACTTTCTATCCTCTCATTTTTCGACTCCATTACAATGACCACGGCATCTCCAACTTTCTACTCGGCCGACCCGGAGACTACGTCTGATTTGGCTCTACGCTTTGCGGAATCCACCTCACCCGGGCCAGAAGGCCACATTCCCTCGGAGGCCCATAAGCTTTCCCAGAAGAAACCGAGAAAGATGAGATCTTCGCCAACCGGCGACGACCATTCGAAACTGGCTCACTCTCTGTTGTCTACTTCCTCACCCGAAGGACTGGCGGCTGCGGCTAGAGTCACCCCGAACAGAATCGCGGGTTTACTACTGAAACAGGGCCCTTTGCCAATAAGACACATCACCGGGCATCTTGCCTCGCAAATCAATGGGTTCTCCAGTTTGTCGCTGTCAAAACAGAGAAGACTAATCATCTCTGCTTTGGAGTTGGGAGACCCAATCACCGGGTGTGTTTTTGAGAAGATCGGCTGGGGTCAATGGGAAGCCCGCAAAGTTAGTGAAGAGGAGGTTAGACTAAGAAACTCGAAACAGGCGCTTTCGACTAGCCCTCCTTCTGCGAACTCGTCTTTTGGTGAATCGCTCTCCAGAAGTGCACCAAAGTCGATCAAGAAACGTCATTCCAACGTTGACGACGTCTCACTCGTATCTCCACGTTCGGCAATGTCTTTTGCGGTTTCCGCATCTGCTTCTGCCTCCAATTCGTGGTCAAGAAGGGAGTCTATTACGAACCCGGCTACTGATCCACACAACGCGAAATTGCCGGTTTCTCCTAGTCTGAACCCAATCCAGAGTCTGAGAAACTCCTTTAGGGGCAGACAGATTTCGCTCGATGAAGCCATTGAGTCGTCGTCCGATGAGGAGGGACTCGAATTCGACGATGGCGATGGCGATGGCTACGAGGAAGACGGAGGCATGTTTGCGTTTGATAACGATGACTCCGATGGCAAATCGTATATCCGCAGCAACTCTGTGACTTCCACCCATCGCCGTCCTTCGTTTGGCGGTATTATGAAACCCAGAAAACCACGGGCTTCTTTCAACAGCCAGACAATTGAGGCCGCTCTGGACGGCAACTCAATCGAGGGCGGTCTGGATGCCGCTTCTGTTCCGGAAAGCATCGTCTCTAGAAGAAGGCCAAGGGCTTCTTTCAACAATGCCTCTTCGCTTTCGAGACAATCCTTTTTACGGACGAACATTTCACCAAATACTGACCCACTGACAATGCACGATTCGGTGAGCAACATCGCCATCAACAAGGTGTCTTCCACCGAAAACGTGTACTCTGCCAGCAACAGTGGAGCACATTCGGAGACGGATGAAGAAGACTGGGAATCGATAGGTGCTGCGAGCTTGAGAAGAGCCTCTGCTTTGACACCTCCAACGCCGCTTCTGGTAGACACCTCGGATCACAAGAACGGAATCAAGGATGACGAGATGGCTGCCATGGTTCTGATGGATCTGAAGGCGGTCTGACGGAAGCTCCAAGGAAATCGCTTTCTCTGATTTCCCTGTTCTATGATATATGAATCCTGGTGTCACTCTGTTTGGGTTTTATTTTCGGTTTTGCTATTTGGACGGATGTTTAAACGTACGGCGCTCTTTTTTCTCTCCTTGTGCTTTACGCTGTTTGTATTCTATTATAAGTGTTCTTGCTATTAGTGCCTGATATTCATATTTGCTACAATTTTGTTTTTATATACTCTTGCTTTCATCGTTACTACCGATACAGTTGAAAATAACAATATGCTTATGTTAACTCGAATAGGACGAAAACGACAAACTCAACAGTCTTGACTCAGAACTGGCTGATCGCAACTGCAACGGCTTGAACATCATTATGCGAGATCGAAACCTTCACGGACTTGACACCAGCCTTGTCGGCAGCAACCTTGGCAGCTCCACCCAAGACAACCTGAGGGGCTCCTTTGGCATCGCGGACAATCTCGATATCCTTCAATGGGGCACCTGCGCCGTTGCTTTCCACTTGCAGAGCCTTGAAAACGGCCTCCTTTGCAGACCAAGTTCCAGTGAAAGAGGAAGCTGGAGAAGGAGCGTTTTCACAATAGGCAACCTCACCAGCAGTGAAGTTACGCTCGACGAAAGTGGCATTGGAGAGGTTGATCGAAGAAATCAGCTCAACATCAACACCAACACCTTTCTCGCTGGACTCAACCTCTGACAACGCCTTGGCAGTGGCAGTCGCGGTTTCACTGACATAAGTGCTCGATTTCTGAACACCCTTGTTAGAGAAGACCAACTTGGAATCGCGTCCGGCCTCAACACGTGCCAATGGATCCAAGTAGACTGGCTGCTCCAATTCGTCTGAGTATGGAGCCTTATCCTTGGCCACAAACATAGTGTTTCTGATGATAGCGTTGTGCATGTATCTGTAAGAACGCTTGTATCTCTGGTTGACCTTGGCGGCATAAGCAGAGTATTCGTGCTCGCTCAAGGCAGCATACAGATAGTCTGGGTGAACGACAATGGCCTGACCACCCTTCTGGCCGAAACCAAAGGAGGTCACAGAAACAGCCTTAATTCCATCGGTCTGGATACTTCTGGATGGGAACAAGACGTACTCGAAGTCCTCAAGAATCTTGTCAACGTTATCAGCGTTTCTGTTACCAGGAACCAAACCAGTTTGCAAGATTTGGATAGCTCCGTTCAACATCCAGGCACCAGCAGCACCCTTTGGATGACCAGTCAAGAACTTCTGGAAGACACCAAAGACAGGGTTTCCCTCGGTACGGCCCAAGTGTCTCATCATCTTGTCTACAGTAGCAGATTCATTCTTGTCGTTGGCCTTGGTGGAAGTTCCGTGGAACGAGGCAACTCCCAGGTCATCAATTGTCAGGTTGAAAGTCGCAAGAGCTCCACGCAAAGGAGCCATGGTTGGATCGTTCTTCCAGAACTCGTTACCCCATTGTCTTTGAGCATCCTTGAGCTGCTTAGTGGCTTCTCTCTGGATCTGCTCCGAGCGCTCAGCAAAGAAAGTCGACTCAGAGAAAGCTTTGTCGGTAGCCTTCAAAGAAGCAGCTTCTTCCTTAAGATACTCAAGTTCGGACTCAGTCCATTGCGAGATCTGTTTTTGACGGATACGCAACTGTCTGGAACGGTACTTAATGTCAGAGGTACGGTTTGCGTACTTGAGATCGCCATGGTGCTCACGAGCAGTGGTCAAAATACCCTTACCAGGAGCTGGAACAGAACGACCAATCTTGTCGGTAGCAGTTGCGGTCATGGCAACGATTGCGTAGATTGGAACACCCATCTTCAGGGCAAGATCAGCAGTCATGATGACTTGAATACCAGAACCTTGGGCTTCCATGAAACCATTACGCGAGGTGGTAGCAGGACGGGACATCTCAGATGGAGTTCTTCCGTGCGCAAACTCATCAACAGCGTTGGAGGTGGCGTTCATGTTGGCGAATTCGTAGGAACCCTCCTCTTGGAAATCGTCGTATCCACCTACAATACAGATCTTGGCCTTACCAGACAAAATAGTCTCCACACCAGAATCAACAGACTCAATGGCAGTGGCACAGGCTCCAACTGGCGTCTTGATTGGACCAGATGAGGACAACAACAACATGTTAACCCACGCAGCCATGGTGTTGATGAACGATTCTTGGAGGATATCGTTCTGAACAGGTTGGTCCTGGTAACGGTGCTTGAACATTCCACGCAAAGCGGTAACACCTCCCATACCGGAACCAGAACAGTTACCGACCTCAGAAACATGCACGTACTTGTAGAACTCGTACGGGTCAGTCACACCAGCAGAAAGCAGAGCTTCCACGGTGGAAACCAAAACAAACAGAGTGATTGGATCAACTTGCGAGATAACATCATCAGCAATACCGTAACGTTTGGCGTCCCAACCGGTTGGGATTTGACCAGCAACGAGACGGTCAAAGCGCAAGGCTTTTGGAACGTACAATTTGGCACCCTTCAAGAACCTGACGGAATACTCCTCGGATCCTTCAACCTCAAAAACTTCAACAAATTCACCGTGCTTGTATTTGTACGATTCTGCAGTTGTCTTGTCGGTTTCAAATGACTCCAAATCGTGTTGGATCACAACCTCTTGGATGAGCTCCTTCTTATTTGGATCGTATCCATTGAAAAGCTCAGGCTCAATCAATCTGATACCAGAGTGAGCCAGGATCTCCTCCTCATACTTGGCCTTGATGTCCTTATCGTCAACTGGAGTGCCAGTCTTGGCATCGACCCATCCGGTGTAAGGCTTACCCTTCAAGTTACCATTATGGTACTTGATGTAACCCATGATCCAGGCCATCTCAAGACAACCCTCAAGGGAGAACTCTCCGTGTGCTTCCATCTCCCATCTGGTTCTAGAGTTACCCCAAGGACCAACTTCGGAGAAACCGGTAACCACAATGACTCTCTCCAAGTCCAACAGGCCTTCCAACTCAGGAGAGGCAGCCTTGACATCCTTGTAAGGTTTGAGTTCTGGGAAATCAAATTGCATGTTAGCTCTTGGCTGGATTTGAGCCTTGGTGTATGGGGAGTCAGATTGTTCACCGTTGACAACCTTGAAGTCCATCGAAGACTCAAGTGAAACAGCCCTTCTGACATCTGAGGTCTCGTAGAGATCGGTTCTCAACTTGCTGGTGAATTCACGCAAGTTCTCAATGAAATGAAGGCCACCATTGAGATCAGCCATAACAGGAGCATCTTGACACATTTGAGTGACTTCGTTGGTCAAAAGACCCAGGATGTTGAAGGCCATCTCCTTCTGGGAGAAAGTACGAACACCCAAAGACTCAATGCCTTGAGCAATGATGTTGTTAGCAGACATCAGACCAGTACCTCTGGTCCAGCCAATAATGGCACCGCAAATGGTGAGCTGTTGACCCCACGATTCGGAAAACCATCTGTTGAACAAAGTTTCAAGACCGAGCTTGGACTCTGAGTACAAACCGTCGGAACCGAAGGTTCCGTGGTTTGGCGAAAGAGGCAAGACAACCTGGGCTGGACGGGTGTTGATGTCTCTGGCAACCTTTTGCTTCTTGACCTCACCGAGAAGGCGCATCAAGTTGGTGAGCATGATTCTGTGAGCTAATTCAGACTTAGAACCAATTCCATCAAGTTCGATGCCTTGCTCTGGAATAGCAGCAAATGGGATGATGGCATCCAAATCCCAGCCAAGACCACCCTGCTTGACATCGTCGTAAATGAACTTAATCAATGCTTCAACGTCTTGCTTGGAACCCTGGTTGAAAGGAACCACAATGACGGTCGAGCCAGCAGCACCATAACGGGAGTACATCGACTGGTAGTATTCAGTGACTTGCTTGGAATATCTCGATGTGGTGACAATGACCTTAGCACCTCCCGAAATCAGACCTTGCAAGACTTCAGCACCGATGGAACCAGCACCAGCTCCAGTCAAAAGGACATACTTGTTCTTAAACGAGATACCGTTGACTGCACCTCTTTCAAGGCCGTCCAAGAACTGAGCAGTACTGGATCTGTCGTAGACCCAGTCACCCATCTTGGTCTTCTTCTTCATGTGCAAGAATGGAATGGTTTCCGGAGGGATGATGGAGGAAACTGGCTCAATGATAGAAGAAGTAGTTGGTAACGAAGCAATCTCATCATCTTCTTCGGAGGAAACAGATTGAGAGTCCTCGCCCAAAACAGCCTTAGCAGACTTAGAAACCTCAATCTCCTTGGACTTATCGACAAACTCCAAAAGCTCAGAGTACAGCTTTTTGAACTCTAATTTGGTCTCCACAGAAGCCTGTTTGGTGATGGCCTTGTAGATTCTGGCCAGATCATCCTGAATCGTTGGCTGAGGCACTCTGGTCAAATCACATCCAACAGCCATCTCGTGAACATACTGTTCCAGCTTTCTGATAGCGGGTCTGTTGATCTCGTCATAGACGATGTTGCCCTTAGCATCGACAGTTGTCTTTGGTCCGGTTGGGTACGAGATATCCTTGTAAACGGGATCTGAGTGGAGAACCTGGTGGCAGTTGTCAATCAGCTGCTGACCCAGCTTCTTGGCCAATTCATAGGTCTCACCCTTGGCTTGAGGAGTGTGATCAATGTGGTATTGCATGAACTTCAGCAAGGTTGGACTGGCACGATTCATGATTTGGATACATTGAGAAACAGTTTCACGATCAACACTGGTAAGCTTTCCAAAAATGATATCGTAGTACATAGAAAGGGCATCCTGACGAGCCCAATTCCAGTACGAATCATAAGTTCTGGCCTTCAGAGGAGAGAAGACTGGCTTGATTCCAGAAGCATAGAACTCACCATGCTCTTCAGCCCAGAGATCCAACTCTGCCTGCAAGACCTGAGAGGCCTCTTTCTCCTTTATAAGAGACTTGTCACCCTTCTTGAGGTCCAAGTTGAGGTATCTGGCCAAAACCTCGAGCTGCTGACGAGCCATCTGCTTGTTCTCCTTGGTGATCTCCTCCAAGGCAGCAGAATCAACCACAGCACCACCAGCACCACCAGCAGAACCTCCTGCGGAAACCTGAGTGAGGGAAATACCAGCAATAGAAGCGTATTTCTGAGCACAACTGTCGAGGAAAGCCTTCGCTTCAGGCTCACTACCAAGACGAGCAGCTGGCTCCATCGTTAAGGCGACCAATAGGACACCATCCTGTCTTCCGGCACCCAGGCCCCACTGCGATTGCAAGTACTTTCTACCAGTGGTGACGGAAAATCCACCAGGCATCTTGGAAGACATCAATCTAGCAATCAAAGAAGAAGATTGCTTACCCAAAGAGCCGGCAAAGGTCTCCTGGAATTGGTCTGCGAGCTCAGAAAGAGGAGTGTCTTCTGGTTTCTCTGGGGTGGAGCCGAATTCTTTACCCAAGTCACCGAGAATTTCGTTCTGGACTGTGGACTTACCACCGACCAGGTCCTTGATGGCCTTGGACATCGACACACCGTCAAGTGGCTTCTTGAGCTTCTGCGCAACCAAAACGTGCAACAAAAGCGACGCCTTGACCGGCTCGTCGGGAATTTCAGCTACTGGGCCAGCTGGAGCTGGAGCTGGAGCAGCAGCGACAGCCGCGACCGGAGCAGAAGCGGCAGCTGCAACTGGAGCTGGGGCCTCGGATGACTCAGCAGCCGGTGGAGCAATATCAACAGGGTCTGGAGTGTAATAGATCTCCTTGGTGTCCTTGGAGTAACACAGGACCTGTCTTTGCAAAGAAAGGGCAGCATCGTAAGACTCGTACTTGGCCTTAATGGTTCTAGAGGCCATTCCGGCAAGGGTGGGCGAGGGTCCAATCTCCACAACTCTTTCTGTGTTGAAATCCTTGAGGAAAACATCTTGGGTTTCAATCCTGGGCGAGCGTTAGTCAAAGTTTTCCTTGTCATTGATTTTTGAGCTCTTTGAGCACACGAAAAGCCAGGGTACTTACCATCTCACTGGAGACGCAAATTGGTAGGCCAAAAGCTCAGTCAGCAAAATATGCGACAGCTCTTGTTCGATTTCTGGACGCATTTTGTGATTAAATTAAACAAAAAAACGTCTAGATGACAATCAAAGAGAACAAGCGTTGAAGACTAAGGATACGTGCAAGCTTTAATCGTTTGTATTATCTCATCGCGATTTTCTCTGTTGGGTGTTGGGAATCCCCGGAATACCGGGAACAATACATGATGTTACAGAAGGCATCCCATTTACGAAGGGTGAAAAATTCAACTTCTGCTGAACCCTTCGAGACTGTATATACCTTTCTCTATGTCTCCTTCTTCTTTTTCTTCTTCATCAATATTTTTCCGCTTTTCGTATGATTGTTCCATAATAATCTACATTTTTATTCTCTCCTATCCCATTCGTAGTGACACCCAATGCTTATGCCTTCTCATTCGCCCCAAGCTGTTTCTGACGGCTTGGTTAAAACGTGGTTTACGAGAACACTTTAGCGTTGGAAGAAAAACGCCGATTTTCGGCTCAGGAAAACTCCACCCCGATTTAGGTTTGAATCATACCGCTTTGGGACTTTAATCACTTTCCTACATTTTTGCAGACGGCGTGTGGCAGATAACACGCCATGTAACAGGGGTCGTCGTTGTCTGTCGCCCCATTGTAGCATAGAAAAAGGTTAATATAAGAGTTACAAAGGATATTAGTAACGACGAGGAAGACTGTTGGTGTTCTTGTAGAGCGTTTGGAGAGGCTTGAAGCACTTTTTCGTACCTTCAAAAGCCCTCACAGTTGGTCAGCCTTTCAGGACCTAGTTCTTGATGGAACCAACGACACCACCAACAACAGCAGCAATAATGACACAGAGGATAATCACCACAATCCAGAAGATCCAGCACTTCTTCCTTCTGGCCTTTCTAGCAGAAATGGCGGCTTCGTCAACATTCTTGATTCCGGATTGGATATCCTTCTGCGCAGCCTTGACGGAAACGCCCACGGCTTCAATGACCTCATTTTGCTCTACAACCAGCAATTGCATGTCTTCGAACAAGCGCGACAACTCAGCAGCCATCTTCTCAGCTTTTTGCATCTCTTGTTGTCTGGTTTGCACCTCCTGCAACACGGCAGTGGCCTCTCCTCTTCTGTTGGTGAGCAAAGCGTCTGCGAAAATCTGGTCACTGCCCATTTCGTTGACAAACGTCTCAACCTCTTGCTCGGACGCATCTGGGTTGACGATTCTGTATCTTCTTTCGGCCTGGTTCAGGTTCTGTTGCTTGTACTTGTCCTCGACCCTCAGAAACTCCTGGATTAAACCGAGGAAAGTGTTCTGGCACGACTTTGCATGCTGCTGCTTGGTCTCGTCAGTTCCTGCAAGCTTGAACAAGCCCTTGACCTCCTGTTTCAGCTTTTGCTGCGTGGCCGAGGCCTCGCTGGACAGATTGTTAATCTGCTGCTTCAACACCTGTGTTCTGTCTGAGCTGAACTCGGTCACCAAACTGCTCTGTCTTTGATCGATAAGCTGGATGAGCTCTTTGTAGTTTTCGAACCCGTTTTTGACCTTGGAAACCTCGTTCATGAACGTAGCGTTGTCGTCTCCACGGTACCCGTCCATCTCGTAAGCGGAATCCGCGTACGGGTTGCCATACTGGAGATAATAAGTTAGTATTCAATCCAACAAATAAATTGGCGACGCTCTACTCCAGGAACACCGAGTCTCACGTCGCAAATTAACAACACAAAAATTGTTTCCTCGGTTCAACCCGGGCGTCTGCGCGCTTGCGCACCCTCAGCTCCAGTATTATCCGCCTCGGCTCAATCAAACAAAATATAACACATACATCATTCCCGTAGTTGCTCATGATAACGGCGGCTTTTACAGCGTTTTAAAGTGCACAAAAGTCTGATGGTCGGAGCAATGGTTTGACGCAAAGTTCCGGTTTTCCCTGAACGATCGCTAAAGGGTTAGATTGAAAAGTGGTGTGTATCAACCAAAAAACTGTAGACCGCGCCGCCGCTTCAATTTCAAGCCCCTTTGCGGAGTTTTGGCGTGTTTCTTTAATTAGACCAATTCAAGAGCCTCGGGTGGGTGATTTTAGGTTGGGTGGTTTGACTGGGCAATGCATATTAGTTTTATTAGTGGAAATTGGCGGTGAAGGGGCAGCAATTGGTGGCAATTGACCGAGGAATAATGTCAGACCAATTGAGGCGCAGTATGAAACATTCGGCACAACTAGTGGGTCGACCCTGGAAGGTTGTAGGGTTTTCTGTAGGGTTTTTTCGTAGAATGTTGTTTCAGAATGTTAGGAAATGATTCGTGATATGTTTTGAAACACGCACACACACTCTCTCTTTCTCTCGTTTGTAGTTTTGGATTTAGGTTCTTGGGTTCTGGCTCTGACTGCGTCTGATAGCCTCGGCTCTTCTGCCTATTAGCGGTTCACCAAGTGAAGTCTAATGTTTGTTTGTATGAACTTTGGCTCAGCATACCCCGAAAATTCACGGAGCTTTTGCGGGAAACAATTGATTCAATTGAGATTAGTGTGAGTGCGTTTCGCTGGGTTTTCAGTGGTTTCCTCGGGTTACTCAATACAGTCTCTTTGTATCACGTCGTATGCCAAGTTCATGCGGATGGTCACAGAAGTCAATGACAGTGTGAGGTGAAATATTTCACACTTATCATACCTTTGTGGCTCTAGAATTGAACAATGTCCGGCGATGTCCAAAATTGCCCAGAAATTCCTTTACGTTCCAGTATTCCCAGCATGAACATCTATTCATTTGTAGTTCAGTTCATCTTCTCACCTCTTGACCGAAGACCTTTCACCATTTCTTAGCCACAATAAATTCCCTTCCACATTCATAACTATTTTGCTCTAGGGTGAACTATTAGCAAATCCCTCGGCGTTTTTAGCTTTACTCTGGTTGGTCAGGAAACTGCTTCAATGGTAAGTTCACAGGGTCCTCGTGGATTCGGATTTTTCAGCTTCCCTTATCAACCGCTCAAAACAACTCATCAGATTCTCCACTCCTTTCACCACATTCTCGTCATATCCTTTTCCCGGAACAAACTTGGAATGGGCAAAGTCAATCACCTTTAAGGCACTAAGTCTGGCAACTGGTGTTTTATTTTCATCATCATCATCATCATCATCCTCCTCCTCCCAAAACTCCTCCTCAATAACAGGATCATCATACTCAAGTTGTTCCCATCGACTCAAATCATTCTCAAACACAAAAAACAAGCTCCCGGATCGGATCCGAACCTCTTCGTCCAGCAAACAATTGTAGAGTATTTGCAATCGCAAATGAAAGATTTCCAGTATCTTTTGCTGAACATTCACTGGCAACCGATTGTGTCTGAAAAATAGCCCCAGGCCCTTGGTAACCGTCTCATTGGTCAATGACCTTCCAAAAGTCTTGTCGAACGTTATTATATCTGAACCTTCTTCCTTTAACAGAGAAGTACAATCATCCATCCTCACACCCTCCAGATCAGACGGAATTTGATTGTGTCTAATCTTCATCCCACACACCCTGAAATTGAGCGATCCACTTGTGGTGTTCTTGCTGACCTCACTGAGTCGCTGAACCTTCTCAGAACTAGTATTTTCGTCGTATAGTATGGATCCCAGCTTAACATCCAGCACACTAGGCTGCGAGTATCCATACAACGCGTTGCGCAAAACCAAGTACTCTTTGCTTGTAAGCTCATCGACACTTCCAGATTGCGACTGCACTGTAGCCATCATTTCTGCATCGATATTTCCCTTTTTCACAACATCTGGTGTGGCCCCAAGCGTGAGGGTGCCCATGAACGTTGGTGTCCAATGCAACAACTTGGACCCGAGATCAGTGTCTGGATTGTCCTCTTGGGCATTAAGACCTTCATAGAACGCAATCTCTTGCTTTGTAGTAGCTTTTAGAAAAAGCGAGCCATCAACACTCTGTAATGATCCAGGATGACCAGCAGCCTGGTGTGGAAACGGTATGAAGTCAGACATCCGAGGTATGTGTGCGAGTAGGTGTTAAAAACAAAGAGAGCTGGATCCAATTCGATTAATTGACTAAAGCCATTGAAGTTTTGAATTAGCCGGATGGGATCCAAAAAAAATTGGAATAATAATGATAACCGTGAGATTCGAACTCACGCCTCCGAAGAGACCAGGACCTTAACCTGGCGCCTTAGACCAACTCGGCCAGGTTACCTAATTCCGGAAGGGTTCCGCTTTTCGTTGAACACACATTGGTAGCTCCCGAAATGGGATCCTATCATGGGCATCGACTGCCTTGGGAGTCTATCACGGTGAGATCAGTAATGACAAAGAATCGAGCTTTTGATAAGAGACCAAAAATTAACGGAGAAAAATATTAATCAGCATTGTGTAAGATCCAATTATTAGGGTCTCCGGCTGTTTACGGCTGTTTACAGTAAATGCAGCTGCATTGGATCCAACTGGCATATTGTTGGTTCCTTAGTAATTACCGATGGGCTCCCGAATACGCTGTAGGGAACTATTACAAATCTGATAACAGTTGTTACAAATATGATAACGGAGGTAATGAAAAAGACCGCTATTTAACCAGGGGTATATTCCTTGTATGTCAGGATATTTTTTTGGAATAAACCATTCAAATAAGCGAAAGCAAAATACCAAATCTACTACTCAGACAAACTTTACCCCAAACCTACTGAAAAACAAAAATGACTGCCAACACCGTTTACTTCGTCACTGGTGCCAACCGTGGAATTGGCCTTGAATTGGTCACCCAACTTGCCGCTAGACCATCGACTGTCGTCTATGGAACTGCTCGTAACCTGAGCGCCGCCAAAGAATTGCACCAGTTGGCTGCAAAGTACCCAAACTTCAAGCCATTGGAGGCCGATGTTACTAAGCAGGACACCATTGAGGCGGCTGCTAAGCTTGTTGATGAAGAACAAGGTCACGTTGATATTTTGCTTAGCAATGCAGCCCTCGCCGATGAGTACGTTCTCGTCAAGGACTTTGAAGTTGACAGTTTGTCTCGTTTCTTTGAAACGAACACTAAGGGCCCAATCATTGTCTATAAGGCATTCCGTCCTTTGCTGTTGAAGTCTACTCAAGAGAAGAAGCTTGTGTTTCTCTCGACCATTGCCAGTTCTATCAGTCAGTACTATCCTCTTCCTTGTCCTGCTTACGGTGCTTCCAAGGCTGCCATGAACTATCTCGTTAGGGCCATTGCTGCCGAGTCCAAGGACGATGGTTTCAAAGTCATTTCCCTTCATCCTGGTGCTGTCTCAACTGATGCTGGCAAACTTGGTGCTCAAAACATTGATTTCGCTGGACTTGGAATTGAGGTCATTACACCAGCAAAGAGTGCTGAGAGAGTTCTGGCCATCACAGACGAACTTGATGTTAGCGATAAGTTTTACAGCTACACCGGCGATGAAATGAAGTGGTAATCTAGGATGACATTAATCTGATAGATTCTTTATTAGCTATTTGCTTCATATCGCGCCAGCGGATTTTTCAATTATTTTTTTACTATTTTTTGACATTTTTCTGACTTCTTGTAAGCCTATTTAACGGGCGATGTGCGGCGCCTAAACGCACCCCAGACTGCCTGCTTTGCTGCATATTGTGCTGCATGTTTTGGCGAGACTCCTTTGAAGTGTGATTCTGCTTGGTATGTGAAAGAGGTATCTGACCAACATAATTTTAATGAAGACGAAGCGAACTCAATTGATGAGCGAAAGCATGTAGTTCCAGCTTTTTTTTGGAAAAGCAGGTTTATTCAAAAATCCGCTCCAGGATGAATGATTCAAAATGCTTAATGTATCATACAAACAAACATACAGGACCCTCCTAACAAAATAAAATGCGAATTTCACTAGACGTTTCATGAAGAATACAAGAATATGCTTGGATACCACCAGATATGATCGTCTATGAAAGACAAGCCAATCAAGCTTCTCCTTTTTATTGTAGCACTATCAGGATGCTTCAGATTCTTCGACAGATATTTCCAAACGGGTCTGGGACTCTGACTCGGCATCAAGAGGAACTCTATGACCATCCATGAATATCGAGCTTATAACCTCGACTCCACCAAACACGGCAGCTATAACCATTACCAATCGATAGCCATCTGCAATAGAACTTTTAATGACCCGTTTTCCGTCTTCAGAAAATGATGAAGAATCCGACGATACAGCAGCTAACAAATCATTCAAGTCTTCTGAAATCCCAGTCAATTTTGCGATCTTGACATCCTTCAAAACTGTAGCCGTGAAGATGATCGTCTCGAAAGCAGCTCCCATTGCAGCTCCCAAAGCTCTGCAAAAGGCAAGGAAAGTTGTTACCATGTTGAGAAGCTGAGGATGTCCCTCTTTGACTGGAATTTGAGGGCTGGTCATGCCTGGTTGAATTATGAGACCAAATCCGATTCCCACAAAAACCTGAAGACCCAGGAGCTTTGGCTTGGAGGAGGCAGCTATGGCATGAACCAATAACCCTGCGCCCAAACAAGAAAAAAGAGCACCAGTCAGAGCAAAAGGTTTCACATAACGAGTTTTGGACATCAAAATAGCCGTCATAGTTGAGAACACCACCACACTCATCACCATCGGCAGTAAATAGACACCCGTTTTCCATGCGGAAAGATCCAGAACATACTGCAGATCATTGGCAACGGCTATACACGTTATGATGAATACCATTTCCCCAAAAAACATGGTCAAAGCCGCAGTGTACACTGGAGTTAGTCTTAGAAGTTGCAGCGCCAGTAATGGTTGTTGATCACCCGTTGGGTTGTAGAGAAATAGATCATAGACCAGGAATAGAACTGTGAATACTCCACCCAAGACGAAACAACCAGCAACAGCAAATGAATCCCCGCGATAATTGCACACAAATGAAAGCCCCAAGAGCAAAAACGTGAGACCACAGCTTAGCAAGATGAGGCCGATAAGGTCAACACTTCTAGCCATATTCAAGATGCTGGGTATTTTCTTAGTAGCACTTATTGGCCTGTATGATAGCAACAAACAGATGAGCGCAAACGCCCCAATTGGCAGATTAACATAAAAGCACCATCGCCAGGTAAGTCTGGATGAATTTCCAAAGGCTCCTCCAAGTAATGGGCCCGAAACTGAAGAGACAGCATACGCAATGTTCACCACGTTTAGAAACATGCCTCGGTTTTGGAGGGTAGATATGTCATTCAATATCAGATAAACCACCGTTTGGATCCCACCACCGCCAATTCCCGCAATAACTCGGCCGACTATAAGCATGTTCATGGAAATGGATAGGGCTGACACTAATGAACCGATCTCAAACACAACCACTGCTATACATATAACGCTCTTGGTACCGAATAGATATGCCAATCGACCCCACACCAATGTCAGAACAGCCACAGGCAACATGTAGCCGCTGATGATCCATCCGATGCCAGTTTTGGTGTGGAACCGCTGCTGAATTTTTGCCATAACGGTGATCACTATGGTTTGATCCAGAGCAGCAAGGTACATCACCACGAAGACTGCGAATAGACATAGCCATTGTCTTGCGACCTCTGGTGGGATTCCATGAATAGCTGTCGTGAATGCTGATAATGGCAATTTCGTCATTGCAATTGACCAAGAATTCGGCCAAATTGAGGTGCAATTTGGGCACTTGAAAGTAGTCTCTTATCATTAACAAGCTGGCCTTAAATTTTCAATTGTATTATTAGCCTACCGATAAACGGAAATAAGCGGCTCATCAAGCCTCGCATCTTACGGCCGAAAGACAGTTGCGCTCCAACTTCCAAGAGGTCACGCGAGAAGATGGTTGGGCATATGATTGATGAGGTTTCAAGCCGGAAAATTAATAAAATGAACTAAATCAATACAAAAAAGCATCCCATTATATGTGGCGAAGCGCGAAATACTCCCACCGTTAACACCATCCAATTAAGTGTACCACTCAAGTTTCGGAGATAACCCCACAGCTGGTGCACGAGCTTTGCTTCCTGGCTCACTTTTTTATGATTCATGTTCAAGACCCGTCTTTCTTCTCTTGTCTTCTCTTGTCTTCTCTTGTTGCCACTTAAGTTTGTTAGATTTTTCGCTTTTTTTCTCACTCAAAATGAACCCTTCAAAAGCCTCGGAGTCGCAGATGCCAGATACGGCCTCTCGTTTCAATCGCAAGAGGAACCGGCCTCAAATGTCTTGTGTGCTCTGCAGAAAGCGAAAGGTACGCTGCGACAAGCAAAAGCCCATGTGCACTGCGTGTGCGAGGGCCGGTGTTGAGTCGTCGCAATGCGTGTACAACCGTGTGAACTGGGAGCACGTAAAAAGTCCGGAGATTCGCCAATTGGAGGGAAACCTCCGGAGTCTAGAGAAGGAGAATAGCCTGCTTAAGACAATGATAGGAGAGGGAGATCTCAAAATGAGATCGGATCTAGAAAGCTTGAAAAGCCAAGTGGCGAGCCTACAGCGTTTGATCAATTTCACTCCACCAGCAACTGTTTCGCCAGTCACCAACCCTAACATCGAGGATATTCCTCTGGACCTGGTTGGGCTGTACAGCCTGACGGAGAAGCGTTCACGAATCAACTTCTTTGGACCGACGTCGTTCCGCTGTCTTGCCAGCAGAAATTGTATCTTAGAGAAGGTGTACATGCCTTTCCATATGTTGTTATCGAAAGAACGTACAGCATGGAAGAAACGGGCTAATGCCTCGCGCCAGAAACGCGAATTCGAAGTTGCTGCTGGGCTTCCCAGTAGATTCATTTCTCCCAAAGAATTGCTCCCAGAACTGGTGAAGAGACTGGAGGAGCAATTGCCGTCTTTTGCTGTTTGTTATGAACGACTGGCGTTCACGGTGCAGCGTTTTGGCATTTACAACCCTTACATTTCGCCGCAAATGTTCTGGTCCTACTTTGGAGAGCACTTCCGTAGAAACGAAGATGGCTCGGTATCGATTCCGATGCCGGAGCAATCTGTAATGGCCAACGAGATTGCCGTGGTGGTTTGCGCCATACGATTGGCTGTCTTTTTGGGAGGTGAGTCTGGTTTCAGCGAAGCCTACCGCGACGACGAGGACAAGCTGTTTACTCTGGCAACGTTTGCCTTGCAAGTGGGCTCCTTTATGAAAAAGCAGTCATATCCGGTTCTTTATTCGCTGCTGTTGTTGTACGATACTCAGCTTATCGACTCAGAACAATCAGATGGAGGTGACGGGGCAAACATCACGCCGCTGGGCCAGTTGATAGTCGTGATGGCAATTCAGTTGGGGTTGCACCGAGATCGATCCTCTATTCCTTGTAAGAAGGTGATCTCTGAAAAAGGTCCTCTGGTGTACTCTGAACGCGACAGGTGTACCCTTTGGGCCCGTGTTTTGGAGATGGACTCTTTCACGTCCTTCATTATAGGGACTCCTCCATTGATCTCGGATGAGTTCGTGAATGCAGAAACGCACAAGCATATCCCTGAGTGTTTGGCAGACACTACGGCTATCATAAAGCGTGCTGCTAATCTGTTCAATTCAAATAAGGAAGTGGCTACGTTGGGCAAGCTGAGAGAGATCTTGGAGGCGCTCGATTATACCATGTCCCGCAAATTGCCGTCGTTTGCAACTCTGGTGGAATTCGACCATGATGATGTGGTCAAGAGAGACCAAAACGATGCGATGTTGCTCAACAAGCTGAAACTTCTTCTGGTGTCCACGGCTCTGTATGAATTTACGAGTTCTTTGTTGATGGATCACAATCGCCCAAAAATTAGCGACGACTTCACGCCAGATCAAAACGACCAGTGGACTGCTTTGCACGCTTTCTACTGCAGCAAATCGCGCCATTTGAGTGTTTTATGGTACACTCTGATCAACAAAGTGATACAGGTGTATCAAAGAGGCTCTCTCGCTCGTCGTCATGTATTCATCAATCAGTTCCACTTCTTCATCCAAAAGGCTTTAATGATTGCCCATCTTTGCGCATTTACAAGTGTGTCAGGTCAGCTATTTGGACGCCCAAAACAGACGGCTGATCCCTTCTACGAGCTAGACCGGTTCAGACTAGAGGAACTGGAGTCGGCGATGTACCATGCTGAACCGGGATCCAATCCGCCTGTTTTGGTCTATATCAACGGAATCAGAGATTATGCCAGTGACCTGCAACTTTTAGGCCAATTGTATGGCAGAATGGTTCGTTGTAAAATATTTCAGAACTATGGGGTTTTTGTTCTATACAGGATGATTTTGGTATTTCATTGCTTTATAGCGCAGCATGATCATCTGCGCCAGGGCAGAATCGATGAAGCTGCCGCAGAGGCCAAGTTGATGATGATTGAGTTATTGAGAGATCACAATGGGTGTTTGACCTCGTCAGTTATTCCGTTTAGTAGTGTGAATGATGAACCATACGATATATCTGAATGGGTGGATGAAACCAATTTTCTGGATCTGTTTACGACCATTGATATGAATATGGGAGAGGATGGAATTGTGACGGTTTGCGACCAGTTGAAGTGATGATAAATGGGGAGGAAGCCAACAAACACAATAATCTGAGGACTCATAGTTGCAAGTGGCTCCAACATATACTTTATACACCGATATGGACACAGCAGCTGGTGAGTGGGAAGACAGCATGCGATGGAAGGGAAGTACTCCGGTTAGATGGTCCAATTACAAGGCTGATGGTCTGGGCAAGTGTCCAGTGCACTGGTCGTTTCAGGCTGACAGGATGTGTGATCCAACGAAGATTTGCCATAAATCACCTAAACAGAGTCAAAGAAGTCATCTGGCAGGTTACTCCAATCTTAACGCTTGCGTCTTGGCAAAGAGGAACCGGAACCGGAACCGGACAATTTTTTTTTATCTCAAAATCTCCATTCCGAGCAGTCACAGAGCCACAAAATGGTACACATACCTTTTCACCAACCCTTTTCGTAACAACAGTCATCATATTAACCTTTTCACCAGTTACACGGGCCCAGACGTTAAAAAAGGCTTTCTTTTCAGCCGCACGCGACAGGGTAACCCCTCCCGGCTACTCGGATTTTACGGCCTGTCCAGGGTTTCCTGTTTCGGATATAAGAACGCTCGGTACGGAGTTTTCGATCACCCCCATTTAGCAAGGACTAATAACGGAGAGATTAAGGATCGAACACAATATTTTGCCTGTTCTTCACCATTTGTCCAGTATTAGGCCACACTCTGCTAACTAAGAAACATCGTCTATCCTGGATCAATGACTGGCTCGTTCGTCACCACCAGTGTGGACGGCCACAACCAGCTGGTGGAGCTGTCGGGAGACCCGAGAGACCGCATCAAGCGTAAGCGCAACCGGCCCTCAATATCGTGTTTGTTGTGCAAAAAGCGCAAAGTCAAGTGTGATAGGCAACGGCCTACTTGTGGCACGTGCAAACGCAGTGGAATGCCAGCCGAAGCGTGTGTTTACGCAGATTCGCGTTGGAGAACGTCTGGACTAGATACGATGGATCTTACCGAAGCCTACGATGTTGGACAGCTCAGCGAGGAAAACGAACATTTAAACCGGTTGTTGATGGACAAAGAAAAGGCTGTGCACGGCAATACCCTTGCTCTCCGCATGATGATTGAGGATCTCCAACAGAAGCTGAGGATGGCTAATCCCCAGATTGATCCTCCAGGGATACTCTACAAGCCCATGGACAACATGTTGAGGTGCTTTGTCTCCGATGTGGACGGAGTCACCACTTTCTACGGACCAACATCCTGGAAGACGTGCCTGGTGCAAGACATTGGAATGGCGCGATTTCTGACGGGTTTGATTGGGGTGTTGCATCTGGAGCGTGAAAAATGGTCTCATGACCGCAAGCAGGTCCAGGATATGCTGTCAAAAGAGCTGATTTCAAGACTTTATCGCAGCGATCCCGTCTCTGTTTCTGGTGACCGCAAGTCAGAAAAACTGGCTGCTTTTGCCAGTCTCAGTGGCTCTGACTGTTCCACCAAGTTCATCGCTTCAAAGAGCTTTGCGATCACTCAGGACAGTCCTAATTACACCCAAAATCTCTTGAGAATGCTCTCGGATGTCCTTCCTCCCTACGATGTCTTCTGCGTGGCAGTGCGGTATTTCATCCAGCAGCTCGCCAAATACTTCCCATGCGTGGACATCAAGCTGATAGAACAGCCGTTTTCAAAGCTGTTCAAACGAGCAGACGATGGAAGCACACTGGTGGAGATCCAGAGAGATCCGGACTTGTTTGAGGTTGCCTGTGTGATCATGGCACTCAAATTCGCGATCACATTTGACGATTTTTCGCTGGACTTGAAGGGATTTAGTGATCGCGAAGATATGCTGCTTTGGTTTGCAGAACGCACTTTGGAATTTGGTGATTTTGGAAGAAACGGCTCCTATTCAGCGCTCACGGCCTGGGTCCTCATTACCATCTTCTGTTCCTACGACATCAGGGAAGCCGGATACGACGATTCCAAGCACTTTGGCAAAGCCTTCAGTAATGCCCTATCTGTTGCATACAGTGTAGGTGCTCACAGGGACCTTCGACGTGTATTTGCATTTCCCAGCACCAGCCAGATTTCATTGCCCATATCTGCCGAAGCCAGCCGCGGACTGTGGATATCGCTGCGGTACGTCGATGCTGTGCGCTCCCTGGCAATTGGCAGACCGTTGTTGATCGTCGACGAGGGCTCTGATGTGGTGGGTACATCACCAATGGAAAAGGTCCAGGAGAGTTGCACGACTCTGCTTCGCCAGGCGGTATCGAAACTGACCAATGTGACACAGAAGATCCGACTCATTGATATAGAGAACGAGATCACCAATATTGAGAACTTCCTCCTTTCCCCGGGCGAGACCATCCGTGGAATGGCGTTGAAAGCAAACGAAGATGCAGAGGGTTCACGTGCGATTCTGCTGAATCTCAAGTTTTCCTTCCAGACGCTGGAGCTTCTGTTGTGTGTGGTCTCACACGGAAACTGTCTGGCCACAGAGTATCTAAATGGAAGAGAAAATCCACATTTGACAGAAGAAGAGAAACAGGAGTTGACCGAGCTCAAGAACAAGTATAGAGTGGACGTTCTGAGACTGTCGGTATTCATCATGTGTGTGGTCAACTTTGTGGCTACATGGATGCGCAATGGAAAGGCTTTGAACCGCGCCTTGGTTCTGCAGCCGCAGTTGCGCAAACTGTTTAGAAGAGCGGCCTTCACTGTGGGCACCTACATGGTAGAACAGTTCAGCACAGAAAACGTGTACCAAAAGTCTCATATACCCTTGCTTGTGGATAACTTGAACGTGGACATGTTTGAGCGGATTATCTTTATCGATAGGTTGCCCAAGGAAGCAATAACTGATGAGTTGCTGGATATGAAGACCCAAATCGATAGGGCCATAGTGACCCCTCGGCATTTACTCTCTTTCCTTTCCGGGGTCTTCTTCAATACTCGCAGCACTTTCATGGTTGACGACTATGGATTTTACATCAACAACAAGTACGTGATGTTGTTCTGTGAGTATTTAAGCATGAAGAATGTCCAGACGTCGTCAAGCCCAAGTGATTCAGAGACCGAGAGGAGCGGGCGGGTTGACCTTGGTGCCGATAGCTTGCTTGAGTTTTTCAAGAAGGCCAGTACTCAACCGGAGGAAGTTTAGGAATAACATTGATAGCTTTTTTTTTACTTCCTTTTTGGAACAGAACGCATGAAGTCGTTATCGTTCATCACCCTCACATTATCATCGGAACCTCGGAGCTGAACCTCGGAGCTGAACCTCGGATCGGTCCCGGGGCACCATAGCACTGTACTTTTAGCTTGCATTTTATGTACGTAATGGACTTTGGAGTTGTTTAAACAACTGAAGACTTAAGTATTTTCATCTCTGTGAAGAAACTGGGGCATTGTTTCCCCAAAAATCCATCATTGACAGATCTTTTGTAAAACGTGGTGAGGTATTCTCAATTTCTGCTGGCTTGAGCGGTGCTTAATCTCTTCACCAATAGTCTTGGCCATCGCGGCCACTACCAGCTGAGAAAATGGTAGGTTTCAAGTGTCTCAAACCAAGATGTGCCAAAAAAAATTGTAGGTCGTACCCGGATTCGAACCGGGGTTGTCCGGATCAAAACCGAAAGTGATAACCACTACACCATACAACCGGATGGTCCCTAGCAGGATCGAACTGCTGATCTCCGCGTTATTAGCACGGCGCCTTAACCAACTGGGCCAAGGGACCTTCAGATGGCATTCCGAACACAACAGTTTCCTATACGCGTGTGGAAAATTATTTATGCAATGCCGGAAAGATATCAACAGCAGTGCGGCGATTATTCACAAATTCTTTGTGGATGAACTTTGAGGGACGATTACATTATTCTTTTTAAAAGTCATTATTTTCAGCCAGAAGATACAGAGAGTAGCAAGGAACAATCAAGAATCAATAGGACTCAGAAAAGACAAATAGAATCCCTAAAAGAAAATCAAGGCTCTGTTACTTCCACATGCTCGAAATCTTCTTTCTCGTTCAGACCAACATGCTCAACGGCCTCTTCTTCCAATTCCTTGAGGTAATCTTTTCTGTTCCAGCTTGGGATAAACCAAGGCGCATCTTCCCACAGGTTGTCCATCTTTTCAAGTGGAGTCCTACCGGTCTCAGGAAGAAAGCAGTAGAAGTAGACGGCGTTGGTAAAGTTGCACACAATAAAGAGGAACCAAAACTTGTAACCACAATTGGCCATTCCAATCGAGGTGATTTGGGAGATCATCGTGTTGAAAGCAAAACTGGTCATTGTAGCCACGGCCACTCCCCCAGATCTGAGCTGGATGTTGAAAATTTCAGCAGGAATGATCCACGAGGTGGTACCAGGAATGGAAAAAATAAAGTTGAATATCCAAGTGGCAGCAATGAATCCGATTTGCGCAGAATGTGGAATGGTCTGTTTGTCAACGGGAAATTTGGCCATGATAATGGCACACGCTATAAACGTGAGGCATTGCAGAAAATGAGCTGTGATGATGGGCCAACGACGGCCCCATCTGTCGAGGAGCAGAATACATGAAACCTGGGCAACAATGGTGTTGATGAGACCATCACAAGCACTAAGTAGAAGACTTTTGGAGGTGGTGATATGCAACTGAGCATAAATAGAGGGTGTGAAGTACGAGATGGAAGAGACCCCGGTCATCTGCACACTGGCCTGCAGTGAAATAACCATCAAAATTCTTCTGAAGTTGGACTTGTTTCCGAAAACTATCTTATAGAAAGGAATTTCCGAATTCAAAAATTCTTTCTCGACATCTTCTTTAATCTGGTGAAATTCTTCGAGGACAAACGCATCTTCCAGGTCGTTGTTGGAGTGCAGTTTTGCCAGATTTTTGAGTCCCAGCTCATCCTTTCCTTTCTTTATCAACCAACGAGGCGACTCAGGCAGCATGAAGATAAAGATCATTAGGAAAAACGTAGGAACTAACTGAAGGCCCAAGGGCAACCTGAATTGAGCCTCAGAGGTGAACGCAACATAACAGCCATACGAGATCCACGCGGAAATCAAAGCCCCAACACCCAGGAAAGACTGCTGGAGGGCTGAAATGGAGCCTCTAATGGACGGGTGCGCAATCTCACTCTGGTAAACCGGAATAACCATGTACATGATACCCACAGACAGCCCGGCAAAAATTCTACCCACCAGCATATGGGAGAGAGCGTCGGCACCAGTCTGCAACGATGCACCTAGATAAAAGACCACTGTTCCAATGAAGATAGTCCAACGACGACCAAGCCAGTCATTGGTGATACCAGCAATAGCCGCCCCAAAGAAGGCACCACCGGTGAAGACAGAGACAACCGCAGACTTCTCGTTGGCACTCGGCTTGAATTTGTTCAGGAATGCGTCCGAGGCAATAACTTCAGTGATTACCGAATTATCATAACCATAATTAAATGAGCCAATTGCGACAAAACAACCCAACAGGAATTGGTAAACCTTTGGCTTCATTGTAAAAGCTGACTCGGAAACCGGTTAAATGATAGCTAAACCTGTAGAAATTTGGAACTGATGGCACAATATCTGCTTGATCGAAAGCACACTTGCCTGAACCTGATTATCAGATGGTGTGCTACACTGATCTACTTTCTTAAAGATCAGCGAAGTATATATACCACAAATGTAATTGCAACACGAAGCCCACAGAAACGCAAACCAACACAGACTCACCTCAGACACCGTCAAGACCTGATCTAATCTGGATCCACTTCCCAAATTGGAACCCAAACCGTATTCGCAGAGATGCATCATGCGGCTATCTTCGTATGTTGTCATCGTGCAGCAATAGCTTTTTGACAGCGACTATTCCCCGCTTCAAATCCTGCTTGGAGTACGGCCACTGTTGCCAGGTGGGGAATACAAACCTTATAAGAATAAAGGCAACCGAAAAACACAGACGCCCAAATGGGCCCTTTAGACGAAGATGTCACCACTTATTAGTTAGTTCCTGAGAAATGGGGGTTCATGAGGTAAGTGACGTCCCGCGCATTACATGTATGTCATCAAGGGCATTTTCACCAATTGAGAGTATCAGAAATGTGTGCTAGCTGAGTTGTCGTTTGATCAAAGTAGTTCCGACTGAGGATAAAAGCAGAGAGATTTTGTAGACAATAACTCGGCTGTATCAGATTCTATATGAGATGTACCCCAGTCATGCCAATGTACCCCGGGGATTTACTCAGATGTGCATGCAGCTCGGCATTGCCCTGGATCCTGGTGCCCCCACATTTTACACCCCAGGAAGACAGGATAGGAGATGTATCCATGTGTGATGCTGAAAGGCAGAATTATGCGGTGAGAGTGGGATGAGATTGAAAAACCTGGGGCATGACATATTTCAGCATTACTTGCTGGACATTTCCCAAACTGGAAAGCACGCCTGGGAGAAGATAAACGACGAAAGGGCCATAGAAAGAGGGTCTTGGATTAGGCCTAGTTTACTCAAAGGGCTGAAGCTTCAACACCACGGCCCAGTCGTCCTGGGAACTAAGTATTATGATACTTCGTTGAACTTGGATGGTTTTGTCTTTCATCAAAGTAGATCACTTTCTTTATCTGATCCCTGCCTGTCCTAATACTTCAGCTCTACAACAATTCCAGAAATTAAATGCTTCTCCTCAATTTTTTGACCAACGCAAGCCTCCACGAACACACAGATTCACTTCTAACTGCGTCAACTCGTCAACTATATGTTACAACCTCTCCAAGGTATCTCCATGTCTGCAGCTTTCAAAAACACACGCCCCGTAGTCTCAACGCGATCACCTGTCACCCGGTATCACCTCCTGTAGTGACTGCCCCACCTCAATTTGGCCCACTTGTTTCTGCTCCGTGCAAATAACTGAAGTGTTTGCCTTCATTTGCTCCGCACGCCGACGGAACTCAGCAGCTGAAACAGATTGGTACTGCACCCCACTGAATTTAAGCGGTCCAGACACACGATAATATGACCCCGAGATCTCAGCAACACCAGCCGGATCCTCCTCGCTCACAGGGGTGTCCACATCCATTGCAGAGCCCCGAACCTCCTCATCCTCGGATTCTTGACCAGCATTTAAATTCTCGGGCCCTGCCAGGTTACCTGACACTTCGTACACCAGCACATTGTGTTTCTTCTGGAACTTTTCAAGTAGTTTTTCATTCTTTTTGACAAGTTTTTGACTTTCCTCGTCATCGCCATGAGGGTTTGAGAACTCTCTCTCTAAGCTGGAGAGATATCGATCTAGTAAAGCCAGTTCCTGCAGCGATTCGTCTGTTGCAACATTGAAAGGTGTAGAGTCATAAGATGCCCGCAGTGCAGCCAGATTAGATTTCAGCTCTGCCACTTTCTTAGCAGCATCTGCAGCTCCAGAAAAGTCTTTATCCGATCCCTTGATCAGCTCTAGAAGAAACTCGTTCTGGACGATGTATTTGGTCGCGATAATCGACTTCAGTGATATGCGGGTCAGCTCACCATCCTGGTCACCCACACCCGTCACTCCCGTCAAGATGGACGACGGATGACGGTACACTATCTGCTCACTTTGTCTAGACATTTGAAAGGATGTATTATTGGTTTTGGGCGGGAGAGAGAGAGAGAGAGAGGGAGGAGT